TGTAGCAGGGGGAATGCCACAGGACTAGCATTGCCATCTGACCCCTGGAATTCAACTTTACCATTATCACACCTCGTTGTCTTAAGGCCAGCAGGATGCCATATTACAGCTACCGGCTAGTTGACTTTTCAGCTGAGGGGAGAGCCAGGAAGACCCTTTTGAGGGGTAAATTCCCCACTCCATGCCAAGCCGGGTCTGTCCACCCATTCACAATCATCATAGAATAGAATATGACTAGAAGGGACCTTGGAGGTCTTCTAGTCCAGCCCCCTGCTCCAGCAGGAGAACCTAGCCCAGGGGTAGTCAACCTTGGCTCCTTTATGACTTGTGGACTTCAACTCCCAGAATTCCTGAGCCAGCGTGGCTCAGCTTGGAATCCTCTCCCTTCCCCCTCAGCGTGGCTGGCTCAGGAATTCTGGGAGTTGAAGTCCACCAGTCATAAAAGAGCCCAGGTTGCCCACCCTGGTCTAGGAGGCTCACCGCTTAGAACAGGAGGACTTAGGACAGGGATAGGCAACCTTGACCATAAGAAAGGCTGAGCTTCAAAGAATGGAGGCCTTTGAACTCTGGTGCTGGAGAAGACTCCTGCGAGTCCCTTGGACTTCAAGGCGTTCAAACAGGTCAGTCCTAGAAGAGATCAACCCTGACTGCTCTTGAGAAGGCCAGATCCTGAAGTTGAAACTCAAATATTTTGGCCACCTAATGAGAAGGAAGGACTCACTGGAGAAGGGCCTAATGCTGGGAAAGATGGAGGCAAGAGAAGAAGGGGACGACAGAGAATGAGATGGCTGGATGGAGTCCCTGAAGCAGTAGGTGTGAACTTAAATGGACTCCAGAAGATGGTAGAGGACAGGAAGACCTGGAGGAACATTGTCCATGGGGTCGCGATGGGTCAGACACAACTTCACAATTAACAACAACAACAAGGCAACCTTGGCTCTTTTGTGACTCATGGACTTCAACTCCCAGAATTCCTCAGCCAGCATGGAGGAACCATAGCCCCCTTGATGACTTGTGGACTTCAACTCCCAGAATTCCTGAGCCAGCATGGCTCAGCTTGGAAACCTCTCCCTTTCCCCTCAGCATGGCTGGCTCAGGAATTCTGGGAGTGGAAGTCCACCAGTCATAAAAGAGCCCAGGTTGCCTAGCCCTGGCTTAGCCTCTTCTTAAAAATCTCCACTGATGGAGCGCCCAGAATTTCTGAAGGCAAAGCTGTTTCACTGGTTGATTGTCCTCACTGTCAGGAAGCTTGTCCTCAATTCCAGGTTGCTTCTCTCCTTGATCAGTTTCCAACCATTGTTTCTCGTCCTTCCCTCTGGTGCTTTGAAGGATAATGTGACCCCCTTCTCTTCTTTGTGGCAGCCCCTCAGATACTGGAACACTGCTATCATGTCTCCCCTATTTCTTTTCTTTAAACTAGCCAAACCCAAATCCTGCAGCCGTTCTTCGTATGTTTTAGCCTCCAGGCCTTGGATCATCTTAGTTGCTCTTCTCTGAAGCAAAGGGGGGCAAAGAAGTCCAGGGCTCTCCAAGGACCTGCTCACCTGTTCTGTGGGTTGGAAACTGGGGGCCAGTAGTAGGAAAACAGCCTCACCTCCTTCTCCAAAAAAGAGCCTGGCCCTGCCTCCAGCCATCTCTCCCACTATAGTGGAGACATACAATGTTTTCCCAAAATAGCTCAAAGCATTTTTAATCAACAGAATGATTGGAATCCCCAGGGGAAAAAAAAACATACAAGTGAAAACTACAAGCCTCAATGCCACAAATAGGCCACATCTCCATACTGGTCACACTAACTGGGTTTGTTAGGCTCCTCCTATCTAGGGAAGGAAAAAGAAAAGGGCAAGCAGGAGCTGTTCTTTGGCAGTCCAATCCTGGTTGACTTCTATGGGGACAAGACCTTGAATGTGGAATTAGCAGAGGTAGAAGTGTGCACATCCATGAAGCTCTGATATAGACCTGTTAAGTCAATCACTTTGAGCAGGGGTCTCCAAACATGGCGATTTTAAGACTTGTGGACTTCAACTCCCAGAATTCCCCAGCCAATTTTGGGAGTTGAAGTCCACAAGTCTTAATGTTGCCACATTTGGAGAGCCCTCCTTTAGAATTCTGCTACTATATGTGGTCTTAGACAAGAGGGCACCCATCACCAAATTCCAAGTGCAGAGGTTTTATTACTACAAATAATGGCCAGACTGTAGGCCATTAGTACTGAGTCACGCAATGGGGTTGAATTCAGTCCCTGCTCCGTACCAATTAAATGTGAACAAACATTTAAAGCTGGAACGGAGGAAGAAGAGAAAACAGATGGCCATTCTTCCCTCTCCCAGGAAAGGAATCATTAAAGCATAACTGGACAAAAGTCCATTTAACTGTTGGCTTGTTGGCTTGGCTGCCTTGCCCAAAGAGCCCTTTTTTTTTTTTTTTTTTTTGCTTTTTTGACCTAAAATGATCACACAAACTGGAAAGAGAAATACAACTTCTTTATTGGCCAAGTGTAGTTGGACACACAAGGAATTAGTGCATCACTCAAGCAAAAAAAAAAAAAAAGTGCCCAAAAGAATAATCTGGAAGAAGGGGACGCAGCTTGACAGACGCTACGCTACCTTGCAGAACTCTTTCGTGCCAGAACAGAGACAAAGCCCTTCATGGCATAGGGCCAGGTTACTTACAGGACCGCATTCTGCCGCACAGTTCCCAGAGACCAGTGAGGTCCCATAGATTGGGCCTCCTTCAGGTCCCGTCAGCCAGACAATGTCGGCTGGCGGGCCCTTGGGGAAGGGCCTATTCTGTGGTGGCTCCGACCTGGTGGAATCAACTTCCCCCCCCCCCCCGAGGTTCAAACAACTCCCACCCTGCCGGCCTTTAAGAAAGCCGTTAAAACTCTCCTGTTCCAGCAGGCCTGGGGCTGATGTCCGGGGAGGGGGGGGGCAGGACATGATCGGACTTGCGGTATGATTGAATTATTTTATTGTCTTATTCTCGATGATTGTTTTAATTTTGTACGCCGCCCTGAGTCCTTTGGGATTGGGCGGCATATAAATAAATAAATAAATAAAAGCAACTATCCACCTGATGCCACCATCTTGATTCATCCAATAGCCTGGGAAATCTAAAACGGGGGGGGGGGTTCTTTTTAGAAAGAGATTTACTATTAATTTACTATTAATTCTAAAAATGCTTGTATGCTTGTATCAGTCATGGATTATCAATGTTAAAAGATGTCTGTACTTCTTTTGTGACCTCTCTTCATTTCACACTAGAAAACAACTGTAACTTCTCCATCGTACTTACTTCAGTACCACAGCCCAAAGTCTTAACATTTACATTTTGTTAAAGAAATACATTGGAGTGGGAGGGAAAGGTTCAAACTCTTCTGCGTTCCAGTCCAGTTTTATCTGAACACCCACAGGTAGTTATTAAAAAATTAAGAGCAAAGCATTATTACGAGCACCTTGCTGGGGAGAGAAGCATATCTGTGCAACAAAAGCATGCCAACAACAAGTAATTTTTGTGAACCCAATCAAGGTACTGGCTACATAAGTTCCTTTTTTTTCTTTCCTGTACCTCCCTCCCTCAGTCTCCAACACTTTCCTGTAATACCTAAGGTGCCCGGTTACAATATACATCTTTATGCAGAAACATTAATATACAAAATGCTCTCATGGACAATTATAAATCTAAAAAAGAAAAAGCAGAAAAGATACCGCACCAATGACTGCTAAGAACATTAAATACACCAGGTGGTCTAAAAATCTGCTATCCAATTATAAAGAATGGTTTTGAACCCAATTTGTATGACAAAGCAATAAATAACATGTATAAACCCCACGACAAAAGATCAGCTCATGCAGTAGCTTATTCTCATTTATTATGGAAAGCCTTCTTCCTGGGATTTTAAATTTTAAATATCAACAGGAGAGGGGGGGAACCCTCAGTACCATTTCTTTCCCCAGACCACTGTATCTCAAATTAAGGCTCAATTGAAAAACTTTACAGGGCTGTGTTACAAAAACTAAATCTGCAGACTAGAAGATCCAACAGGGAGATGTTATGATAAGGAAAACCACAGCTGATGAGCAGATGAAAGGGGAAGGCCAGCAGGAGGTGGGAGGGGCAAGGGACAACCTAGAAAATTTGTTTTCTACCTTTAGGCAAAGGACAGTACATTATATACACAACCCCTGTAAAAAAAATACAAGTGAGTCACCCAAGGCGAATAGGAAGCCTTTAACACATCTCCATCCTAAACTGCCAGCAACCCCGTCCTCATCTTCCTTGCTTTCCTGTTCAAACAGCCGGCACACCACACCATTCTTTACTTACCTTTATCAGGTGATACTGCAAACACCCCCTCCCCCCCTCAAAAGGCATCCCTATCCTCCTCTTCCTGGCTTTCCAGTTCAAAAAGCCAGCACGCCACACCATTACTTACCTTCCTCATACAGGTTACCGCAACCTCCCACCCCCAGGAAAAGATAAGAGGGAGATTTGTTGGTGCCATGGCGCTATTATTTCTAAAAACAGCCATCTAGGGGGCACTTGGAAGAGGGGCAACCTTACAGGGTGCAATTTCCTAGAGCAGGGGGTCTTCAAACTTGGCCCCTTTTAAGATGGGTGGACTGCAACTCCCAGAATTCCCCAGCCAGCTGTGCTGGCTGGGGAATTCTGGGAATTGCAGTCCACCCATCTTAAAAGGGGCCAAGTTTGGAGACCCCTGCTCTACAGCAAAGCACCTTTTCCGGGTATCCTCAATTCAGGTGGGGCTACAGAGCCCCCTCCCCCAAAGGCTTACCTGCCCACCACTCCCACCTCCAGCCATGGGGGGGGATGGGTCAGGGTCACCCCTCTGGAAAAAGGCCCTTCCAGCCCTGGTTTTTTTTTGGGGGGGGGGACTGAGGAGCTCGCCCCCCCTTCCCTCGGCTGGGTCGCCCCCCCCTCCAAATCTGCAGCGGGAAGACCCCCTCCCTGCACCCTCCAGGGAGGGAAGGGGGGCGCACCTGGTAGACGGAGGCCTTGGGCAGGTCGAGGCACACCGTGCAGCACAGCACCGAGTAGAGCCGCTCCTCCAGCTTCACCCCGCCGCCGCCGCCGCCGCCGCCGCCGCCGCCCTCGGCCCCGCCGGGCAGCTTCAGCCGCTTCTTGGGCGGCGCGTCGGAGTCGCGGTCGCCGCCGGGCTCCGGCTGGCCCTGCCGGCCGCCGCCGCCGCCCCCCGCGCCCGCCCCGCCGACCCCGAGAGGGGCCCCTGGCTCCTCAGGGCCCGGGCCCGCCGCGGCCGCCGCGTCCCCCAGCACCAGCGGCCCCGCGGCCGCCGCGGCCGCCACCCCGCTGCCGGGCTCCCGCTCGTCCGGCCCCGACATGCTCTGGCTCGGGCGCAGCTTCAGCCGGCGGTCCTCAGCGCGGGTCCTGCCGCCTCAGGCGCCGCCATCTTGGTTTGGCTCCTTCCCCGGACAGGCGGCGGGCGGGCGTCGTCGCGCCACGCCCCCCCCCCTCGGCGCGCTCGGCCAATCGCCGCCGGCCGCTCTCGCCGCCCACGCCCGACGCCCGTCAATGGCCCGACGCACAAGCAGACGCGCGAGGCGGCGAGACAAACAGCCGCCTCCTCCAACCGCCAGGCGCAGACCGAGTCGGACAGGGCGCGCGGCGGCTCGCAATGGACGCTTTTAAGGCTCGCCAATCAGCGCTCTCCGAGGGCGGGGAGCGGTGCGAAAGGCGGGGCCGTCGGGAGGAACCTATCCCCCAAGGAGGCCCGCCCAAATTAGCGGCAGCCTATCCGCGGCGGGAGGCGGGGCCAGGGGGGGCGGAGAGTCGCAGGTGAGCCCAGGTGGCTTCCCCAGCGTCGTTGCCCAACCGGGCGCCCGCCAGGTGATCCTCCGCCCTCCCGCCCGGGCGAGGCTGACGAGAGCGCCTCACCTGGGGCTGCTGGAGGTCGCCTCGGTCCCGCTGCCCCGCTCGCCAGGTAGCGCAGGTGGCCACCCTCGCGGGGCCTGCCCGGAGCGAGCCGAGGCTGCGGGTGTGGCCGGTGTGAGATACAGCTAGGCAGGGCTTTGGACCGCCCTGCGCCCCACCGTCCCCCATGTGGGGGTGCAATGACTAACAAGCCGTCCCTGACTTACAACCATTCGTTTAGTGACCGGTCAGAGTTACAACGGCGTTGAAAAAATGACTTACGACCCCTTGTGACATGACCACAGTGGCCTCCCCGTGGTCACATGATCAAAATTCACACCTTGGCAACTGGCATGGACTTAGGACGGTTGCAGTGTCCCGGGGAATCACAGGATCTGACTGGTGATGGGGGAAGCCAGATTCACTTAACAACTGTGTGACTAATTTAACAACTCCTAACTCCAATAGAAGAAAGGGACGACAGAGAACGAGGTGGCGGGATGGAGTCCCTGAAGCAGGAGGCGTGAGCTTCAATGGACTCCAGAAGATGGTAGAGGACAGGAAGTCCTGGAGGAATGTTGTCCATGGGGTCGCGATGGGTCAGACACGACTTTGCAATTAACAACAACGATTCGCTTAACAGCCATGGCAGAAAGATTGTAAAAAATGGGGCAAAATTGACTTAACAACTGCCTTGCTTAGCAGCAGATATGTTGGACTGGGTTGTGGTCATAAGTCAAGGATCACCTGGACTTTCACCCAAGAAGACACCTACTGGATGGAGGTCAGACCGTCCTCTCCTCCTATAAGTCCCTCTCAGATTTCCAGCTGCTCCCTCCTGCCAAATATGCACGGCCAGCCTCGCCCCCCCAAATCTCTGGCCCTTTGCCTGCTTAGCCCTTCTTTCCCTTACTTCTTCTCTGAAAGGAGGGGCTGTTCTCTCCTTTCCAATCCCCCCCTGCCTCTTAACTGTAAACAACACAAGGTTTCAAGGAGGAGACCAACTCTTACCCCCACCCTTAATTTTTTGGAACCAAGCAGGGCAGAATTACAGGTAGTCCTCAACTTACAACAGTTTAGAGACCATTCAAAGTTGCAATGGCACTGAAACGTGTGACTTAGGATCGTTTTTCAGCATTCTGGCTCATATTTATGACCAAGGTCACGTGTTCCCCTTTTGCAACCTTCTGGCGAACAAAGTCAATGGGGAAGCCAGATTCAATTCACAACCGGGTTGTGATTCCCTTAACAATTGTGGCAAGAAAATGGGGCAAAACCCACGGAACCAACGTCTCACTTAGCCACAGAAACGTCGGGCTCGGCCTGTGGTTGTGAGTCAAGGACTACCTGTGTATTTCTTCAACACAACCCTACAAGGACAACAGGTACTGCTGAGGTCAGCAGCTGTCTGCAACCACACCCCACCCGCTGAGGACAGCTTCCATTTCAAAGAGACGCAGACCGAAACAAGCTATTGACTTTTATTCCAGGGCGTCTGGCATTTTTCTCGAGCCTCTCAAGTTTCCTAGTGGGCGGAAAAAAGGCAGCTGAATTGCAGTGGCACTGGGCAAACAGCCAGATGTTTTCAGGACTTTGTTTGGCCTCCCCAGAGAGGCCTGACTGAGCGGGTGGGGCCGTGCCAGGGTGAGTAAATTTCGAGTGGTATAGCTGGTTTTACCTGCTGATCTGTAGGGCCCTTTTTTTCTCTCTAGAGAGAGAGAAACTTACACAGACTTAACCGAAACTTAAACTTACCCAAACTTAAAATACAAGTGAAAATAAAGATTGTAGGAAAGGGGTAAAAGGGAAAGAGAGATGTGTGGGATAAAGGGTAAAGAAAGAAAAACTGTGCATTAACTTTGAACTCTTTTTTCCGCACAGTAAAAGAAAAATAACAACATGGCAGCCTCAACTTTTCACTTTCGCGTATAGTATATGCGTATATAGTATATGTAGCATATGTCCTCAGCTTGTGACAACTGAGCCCAGAATTTCTGTTGCTAAGCAAGACAGTTGTTGTGGGTGTTGCCCCACTTTGCAACCATCTTTGCTACAATTGTTAAGTGAATCACTACAGTTGTTAAGTTAGTCACACATTTATGAAATAAATCTGCTTCCCCCATTGGCTTAGCTTGTGCAAAAGGGGACCGCATGACCCGAGAACACTGCAACAGTCCTAAGTACATGCCAGTTGCCGAGCCTTCAAATTTTGATCACTTGACCAAGAGGATGCCTCAACGGTTGTGTGAAAAATGATATTGTCACTTTTTTTAGTGCCGTTGTAACTTCAGCCACTAAGCAAATGGTTGTAAGTCAAGGATTATTGGTACTTAGTACGTACTAGCCATTTCTATAATAACAAACTTATCTAATCAACGAATCCCAAAGTCAGAGGTTCATTTTTTGTTTTCTGTCGCAAGTACAAAATCTAGAAGCCGTTTCCAAGTAGAGATGAAATTGGATGCATTCTTTTAATCAAAGCAGTTAATTTGGCCATCTCTGCTAGCTTCATTTCCACCTATTCTTCCATTGTGGGGAATTAATGTATCCTTTCTATTTTTGCCCATAAAATACTCATTGTAGGTCCCCTTTTTCTAAAGTTCTAGTGGGAGGAAGTGGGTTTTGCAATGGGTAGCCTTGTATCCTCCTTCACATCCCACAACAGTCCTTCTGGAAAGGCCAAATTATTTCTGTGTTTTTCTACTGTCTACTCTTCCTAAGGGAGCCAGCATTGATTAAAAACAAACAGAGGAACATAAACAAGGAAACCGCCTCCCATAAAACCGGAACACGGGCTGTGTTTACACCACGTGCTTCATCGGAGGCCAGAAAGGGTTTGAAAACAATTTGTTGGTCTTGCTCAATCTCTTGGCTTTGATTCATTTAAGGATGATGTGGTAAGACAGAAGATAGGTTAATATCCTGAAATGACCTGATTAGGGATGTTGCGAAAGCAGCCACAAGAGAGGGAAATAATTAAAATAACTTGTGGCCATCTATTAGGCTTGGTTCTGGGGATGCAATGGCTGAATGCTTGCCACCATATCCGGTCTCTAATAAAGTTAGGTAGATTTCCCAACCATGGCGACTTTAAGGCAGGTAAACTTCAATTCCCAGAATTCTGAGGAATTCTGGGAGTTGAAGTCCATGCGCCTTAAAATTGCCACAGTTGAGAAACCCTGTAATAAACTAGCTTTCCCTAGATGGGTGGGGAACCTTGGCTCTTTTATGACTCGTGGACTTCAACTCCCAGAATTCCTGAGCCAGCCATGGGAGTTGAAGTCCACAAGTCATAAAAGAGCCAAGGTTCCCCAACCGTTAGGATGTTCCTTTCCTCTCTGATTTTTCCCTTATTTATCTAGACCTCTTTCTGCCTTTTCCTTGGTTCAAGTTTCCTCCTTTCCTTGTTTCAGTTTGATGGGTCTTTATACAACTCCAGCACCCAGTACTTTTAACTTTTAAAAATGTTTTAAACTTTGCAGTTCACTCAGCGTCACCAATGACAGACGGGTGGCTATATAAATTTATAAAAAATCATGGGTAACAGGGAAAGCTTCACTTGTTGAATTCCCATTTGGCATAAAGGACTTTTTTTAAAAAAAAAAAAAGCTTTCATTTTTATTGGTACCCTACCTTGAATTACGGGATTACAAGGTCATAAAAAGGGAATTAGATGGTATGTTTTTTATTATGTTTGTGGTTATTTTATTCTCATCACATGTTTTAATTGTATCTGTATAAGCCATCCAGAGTCTCTCTTGATTGTGGTACAGAAATGTGTTAAGCAAATAAATAAAAGAACCCACTTTGAAATCTATGTTGTCTAAGGAGTCTCCTCTCTCTCTCTCTCTTTTTCTTCCTTTCTCTTTCTCCTTTCTTCCTTTTCTTTCTCCTTCCTTCTTTCTTTTTCTTTCTCATTCCTTTCTCTTTCTTTCTCTTTCTTTTCTTTCTTTCTCTGAAATCTCCCTTGGTTTGACAGCTGCTTCTTCCTTACAGATTGCTGGTTAGCTCCACATTTGATGACAGTGAACTCCATAGTTGGCATGTACAATGGAAAGAAAAAATCAGGTCGCTGTGTGCTTACAACTCAGTAAATAAATCAGTAACTGGAGTATGAGAAAGATCTAGTAGTGAAGGCACCAGGTTACAAAACCAGGAGCTGGTGAGTTCTAGTCCCACCTAAGCCATGAAAGTCAATTGGATGAGTTTAGGCCAGTCCCTCTCTCTCTCAGCCCAGCCCACCTCACAGAAAGTGCGTTGGTTATGTTCAACCTCGTAGAGTTAATTGTAAAAACAATAAAGGCAGGGCCTAAACACCTCAAAATGGATGCCAGCCATTTCCAGTATCCAGCCCAACTTCCTGTTTCCAGATGTAAATAAATGAAGGCACAATTACGGAAGACTCTACCCCACACCTCAGACCACCTGGATATATATTGCACTCTAATTTTTGGCAGCGTTTGTTGTGCTCTGAAGCCACAACACATCCCAGTCTTATTTTGGACTTGAGAAATGCTGCCCTTGGACTCCAGGAATATCGGATTCCCTAGACCAGGGCTTTTCAACCAGTGGTATGGGTACCACCTGTGGTACATGGGCACCTGGCAGTTGGTACGCAACCATCCTAGAAAAGTGGTAGCGGGGGTGGGAAATGAGTTGAACCAATGGCAGCAGCGCACAAGCCTGAGCGAGAGACGGCTGGAGCTGCAGGGCTGTCAAGGCTCAGTGGAAGCACCAGGATCAGTGCCAGGCTCCAGCTGGAGCTCGGCGCTGATCCTGGCGCTTCTGCTGAGCCCTGAAGAAGCGCCAATCAGCTGGAAAGCAGCACTGATCCTGGTGCTTCTGCTGAGCCCGGAAGAAGCGCCGATCAGCTGGAATGTTGCAGCATCTCCAGGGTCTTGTGATTTACATTCAGATGCTTGGCAACCGATTCATATTTATGATGGTCAGTGTCCCAGGGTCATGTGAAGTGACCAAAACCTGCTGCAACCACCCAGCAGACGGGGGGGAATAAAAACCACACACCCCCTCACCTCACCCCCGCTGCCAATCCTCAACAGAAATGCTCACAACAATGAAAACCTCGGACAGGAGGAAGAGCGCCGCCGAGTGGGCAGGCAGGTGTCTTGCTTGGCTGTGGCTTGGAGGGCACTTTTTTCAGGGCCATTGTAACTTTGAACAATCAGTAAGCGAACTGAGTACTACTGAGGACTACTGTACTTTCTCACTTTTTTTCTTTTTTTTTTTTTTTTGGTCATCAAGTTTTTGACCCCTTGCTAGGCGACTGATGGTACTCGGATATTGCCATATCCTAAAAGTGGTACAATGGATGAAAAGGTTGAAAAGCCCTGCCCTAGACCAGGGGTAGGCAACCTTGGTTCTTTTATGACTGGTGGACTTCAACTCCCAGAATTCCTGAGCCAGCAAGGCTCAGCTTGGAAACCTCTCCCTTTCCCTTCAGCATGGCTGGCTCAGGAATTCTGGGAGTTGAAGTCCACGCCTCATAAAGGAGCCAAGGTGGCCTACCCCTGGTCTAGGCCTAAGCCGCTTTATGACTTGTGGACTTCAACTCCCAGAATTCCTGAGCCACATGAGGGAAACTTTGGCCCCCTCATGACTGGTGGACTTCAACTCCCAGAATTCCTCAGCCAGCATGGGGAACTGTGGCCCCTTCATGACTCGTGGACTTCAACTCCCAGAATTCCTGAGCCAGCATGGGGGAAACCTTGGCCCCCTCATGACTCGTGGACCTCAACTCCCAGAATTCCTGAGACTAATGGCTCAGCTTGGAAACCTCTCCCTTTCCCTTCAGCATGGCTGGCTCAGGACTTCTGGGAGCTGAAGTCCACGAGTCATACAAGAGCCCAGGTGGCCTACCCCTGCCCTAGACAAGAGCTCTGGAGGGGGGCAATATTTTCAGGTGATGGGCAGAGCCGGGGAGAAAGGCCTTGGGCTGCTCACTTCCTGTTCCCAAGCGACCCCTTCACGGTGGGTCCCTTCACTGTTGAAGACAGGGCAGAAAACAGGGACACAGGGCAGAAAACATCCTGCAGCCAAGAAGGCTCCACACACCCATTTGCACTACTCAGGTGACCCTGAGGACACAGGTAGACCTCCAAGTGGCCTCAACGACTCTCTAAAAGGAGGCAAATGACCGGCCGTCAAAATCCTTCCATTCCCCACCATCCAGTCAGAGCTGAAGAAGCTTCTTGGATGAGAAGTGAAACGCCTTCAGAGAAAAACAAGAAAGTCCAGTTGCCTCCTGAAAAAAACAGCTTTGGGACCTGCCCTTCCTATTGACCCATAAGGATTCTTGGGGTCTCTTAGATTTGCGTCCCTCCCCGGGACCCCAGGCTTCCCTGTCCAGAAGCTACTACAAGCAACCACTCCCTATAGCTCAGTGGTTCTCAACCTTTTTAATGCCGCGACCCCCAACCGGTCGTAAGTCGAGGACTACTCAACCGGTCGTAAGTCGAGGCCTACTCAACTGGTGCAGCACCGTTTGCAGAATGGGACTTTTGGCGGGCTCAGCAGGGCAGAGACAGCCTGGACAATTCCTATTGGCTTTGGAAAGCCAATAGAATTAGACTCTGTTCAAGAGAGTCTCTTCTATTGGCTTTCAAAAGCCAAGAGAATAAAAGGGAGTAGCACAGCTAAGGAAAAGGGGGAAAAAAATGGCGGACTGCGTTGTTTGGCGACCTCCGTGAAATGGTCGTTCGACCCCAAATGGGGTCCCCACCCACAGGTTGAGAACCGCTGCTATAGCTGTTGCCCAGTTCTAGATGCTGCACTCGGAGAGCCCGGCACAGGGCCAGGTTGGCACTTGCCATGAGACAGTGGAGGGCATCGGTCTCCTTTGGGGTCGGCAGGGACCACAGTCCAGTTTCTGGCAGCAGGCCGGCTGCCCCCAGCAGGAGACTGCCCACCATCCCATAGGTGCTTCCGGTGAAGACGGAGACAATGAAGATGGTAATGGTGACCATAGAGATGACCGAATGGACCACTATGGCCTTGCCTTCCTTGGTGAAGTAGCCCCAGCCGCCAGCCAGCACCAGGGCACCTCCCAAGAGGACGTTGGCCGTGTAGTAGTCCCCGTTCAGCCAGTGGAAGGCAAAGGCCAGCAGCGGCAGCCCCACCACCGTGCAGGACCAGGTGGGGTCTGGGGGCCGGGCCCCTCGCCAGCGGGGCCCAAAGGAGAGGGTCTCCAGGAGGGCTTGGAGGAGAAACCAGGCTGATGCTCCCCGGTTGATCTGCAGATAGAGAGAGGCAACAAAGGGGGCTGAGCCCTGGGGAGCAGCCCCACTGGCCAGCGGGGAGCAGGCAGCCACCGTGATACCTCTGATGGGGCTCAGCCAACCGGCCTCTTTCCTACCTGGAAGGTCAGGAGGGCAGAGTGCAGACAGACAGCGGAGAGCAGGAGGCTGGCCGGGTCCTGCTCTGGCCAGCTGGGCATGGGAAGGAAGCCTCTGCAAGAGAAAAAGAGGGGGGGGATTTATCTGGACCCCACTTCGGGCGGATAGCGACCCTCCCCCCAAGCTGCCCTGTATCCAAGCCGGGAGGATGCGCGGCGGCAGGAGCAGCTAGGGCAGGGATAGACAACCTTGGCTCTTTTAGGACTCGTGGACTTCAACTCCCAGAATTCCTGAGCCAGCTGTGCTGGCTCAGGAATTCTGGGAGTTGAAGTCCACGAGTCCTAAAAGAGCCAAAGGTGCCTACCCTCAGCGCGCAGACGTAGGAGAAGGTGCTGGGCTGCAGGCAGGACTTCCTTCCTTCCGCGGGTGGGCTCAGGCGGAGCCCTCCGTCTGCAGCGCCGCACAAAGCAGGGGTGGGATGGATGGCCTCTGGGGCACCCCCGATTCCTGCAGGGCAATTGGCGTTCCCGACTCGAGCGGGGGAAGCCCGGGAGCAACCGAGCAGCCCTCCCCTGCCGCGGCAAAGCGGCGCCCTCCCCCTCTCCCCCGCCCGGGCAGGAGCGACCCCCGCCGCCCCTCTTCCCCCCCCCCGTCCCTGCCCAGCCGACTCGCCTCCGCCAGCCGGGAGTCCGCCGAACGCCCCGCATAGAGTTCTCCCAGGCTAGAGCGGCACCAGAGACAGGGGAGCTCGGCCGGCCAGCCCGAGAGGCGGAGCTGAACCATAGAATCTGTCTCGCAAGCGAATCAGGGCGACCTTTCGGCGCATGCGCATTTCGCCAAACTTCCGGCAGTCCCGATGCCGGGTGCCGGTGGGGGGAGGAGGGATCGCGCCTCTCCCGACGCCCCGGCTTGCCGCGGATGATGGGAGTGGTGGTCCCATCATTTCCACGAGCGTCCCCCCCCAAAGCCTCCTGCGGGGCTTTTCGCTCCTCCGCGCGCCTCTCGGGGATTCCGCGGCTGGGACGAATCCCGGCCGGAGCGCTTTGCACGCGCTCAGAGGCACGCTCGCCCGCCGTGCAGAGCCCCTCCCGCGGCGCTATGGGGATCAACAAGCTGGCCGAGGTCATCAAGGAGGGGGCCCCGGACGCCGTGCGCCCCGCCAGCCTCGAGCAGTACCGCGGTGAGCGTCTCTCCGCCCCCCTCGGTCCCCGAGCATGCACAGAGTGCAAAGAGTACCGGTCCGCCCTCGGTTCCTAAGCATGCAGGGAATGTAAAGGGGGGAGCGTCCGCCCTTAGTCTTTGCGCATGTACAGAGTGCAAAAGTGGCCTCTCTGCCCTCGGTCCCTGACCATGCACAGAGTGCATGGAGTACCAATCCGCCATCAGGCCCTGAACATGGACAGAGTGTAAAGGGGTGTGTGTGTCTGCCCTTGGTCTTTGAGCAAGCACAGAGTGCAAAGGGTACCCCACCTGCCTAAGCATGTACAGAGTGCAAAGTCTACCCCACTTGCTTGAGCATGCATAGAGTGCAAAAGTGCTCTATTCCTGAGCATGCAAAGAAGGCCCATCTGCCTTCGGTCTCTGACCATGTATAGAGTGAATAGAGGAGCTGCCCATCCTTGGCCCCGGAGCATGCACAGAGTGCAAAAGTGTCCTGTCTGCCCTCGATCCCCAAACATGCGAAAAAAAAGCCCACCTGTCCTCAGTCCCTGAGCATGCACAGAGTGCAAAGGGAACCCTGGGGAGGAACCCTGATGTCCTTCTGGGACTGCTAAGCTTCTTTAGACAGCTGAAGGACTCAGCTTGGAATTAGGAAAGTTTGTTAAAGGAATTGCTGACACACAAAGTTGCAGCTGCGGGGAGTGTAACAAGACACGCTAGAACAGTGGTGGCGAACCTATGGCACGGGTGCCAGAGGCGGCACTCAGAGCCCTTTCTGTGGGCACCCGCACTGTCGCCCCAGTCCTAGACCTTCAGCTGGGTTTTATAAAACCTTTTTGCTTTAGGCCTCCGCCACAAAAAAAAAAGGTTCAATCAGTCAATTTTAACTTCCCATGAGAAAACAAAAGATCTTGCAAAGTTGAAATTGATTGATTGAACTTTTTAGTCCCACCCAGTCTGCCCTTACCACCGCAGCCACGCCCACCCAATGGGCCACACCCACCCGGCACTCGACGATGCATAAGTGGGTTTTGGGTTGCAGTTTGGGCACTCGGTCTCTAAAAGGTTCGCCATCACTGCACTAGAAGGATGCCAGCTGAGGCATGTAGATAAGTACAAACTCTGGTAACCCCTAGCTCAGTGGTTCTCAACCTTTTTAATGCCACGACACCCCCCCCAACCGGTCGTAAGTCGAGGACTAAACAACCAGTCGTAGGTCGAGGACTAAACCGGTCGTAAGTCGAGGACTACACTACCGGTTGTAAGTCGAGGACTTTCCCTGCCCGGGAGCGCCGTGCATGTGTGGTGCTGCCCCCTGCGCCGGCCGAGGCGTAGCTGGCAAGTGGCAGAGACGGCGCAGGCCGACCACCGGCTGGGCCACCAGCTGGCCCAGCCCAAGGGAGGTAAGGCACCCGCCGGGCCCCACGCGCGCCAGCAACCCTCCCTGCGCCCACCTCCCACCCCTGGCCCTCTTTTACTTACATTTTTAGTAGTTGCTCAGCAGGGAGGGGTGGAAACTTCCAAACAGCTGGCTTTCGCTGCAGACAACTTGCAGCACCGTTTGCAGAATGGGACCTTTGGCGGGCTCAGCAGGGCAGAGACAGCCTGGACAATTCTTATTGGCTTTGGAAAGCCAATAGAATTAGACTCTATTCAAGAGAGTCTATTCTACTGGCTTTCAAAAGCCAGTAGAATAAAAGGGAGGAGCACAGCTAAGGAAAAGAGGGGAAAAAATGGCGGACTGCGTTGTTTGGCGACCCCCGTGAAATGGTCGTTCGATCCCAAATGGGGTCCCGACCCACAGGTTAAGAACCACTGGTCTAGCTTATTATAGTAGTAAAAGACCCCCCCTTTTGATAAGAAAGCTTATTAACCTAAACATGCGACGTATGAGGGAGGAGGGCAAAGTAGAAGGATCCCATCGAAAGAAACGCTTGTTGGCCAACCGACGAGGGATTCTTAAGTAGGTGAACTTCCTTAATCGTAATAACCGTGTAACTTTTGTGCACTGTGCGAGGTCTCTCGGCTCACCCTTTGAGGCTGGCACCATTTTTCCCAAGTTCTCCAATAAGGGAAGCTGAAAATGCCACCCTTCGTCTCGGGGGCCCCGAGTGGCTGTGGCGCTAGGCTGGGACCAGTTTTGGGTACCACACAGCCCAGGTGCACTCTGTGTGCCCTCAGGAGACCGGGATGCTTTGGAGAGGGGTGTGGATTGGCCACTAGGCAGGTGGGCACCGTGCCAGTGGAGCCCGACCGGGTGAAGATGGAGGGGCAGAACGATACCTTCCCCTCCAGCCTCCTCATCCTGCCTTTTTCTTCCTCTTCTTCTTCCTCCTCCTTCTCCTCCTCCTCCTCTAGGGCGGGTAGTCGCTCTGGACACTTCCGTGGCCATTTATCAGTTCTGCACAGCCATGCCGCAGATCATCAACCGCCATGGGCAAAATATCAGGTGAGCAAAGGGGAAGGGGACTTCCTCCTCTTCCTCCCCCCATCCCACTAAGCAGGTGGAATGGCTCCCCACTGAAGGAGACCGGACCCTCGGGTGGGGGGTGGATTCTCACATTCTCTTTCCAGGCAGGTTTGGGAGCAATGTGTGTGGGAGGGGGGCAAAAGGAGGAGGGCGTTCTGCCCTGGGACCCTGCCTGACCTGTCATGGCCTGGCTCACGCATACAGCTAATCCCCAACTTAACAACCGTTCATTTAGTGACCAAGATTACAACAGCACTGAAAAGAGTGACGTAAGCCCGTTTTTCACACCTAAGAACGTTGCAGCATCCCCCCCCAGGCTCACCGGATCAAGATTCAGATGCTCCGCAACCGGCATGTATTTATGACGGTCGCAGTGTGTCCCCCTGGGGTCACGTGATCCTCTTTTGCAACCTTCTGACAAACAAAGTCAACGGGGAAGCCAGTTTCACTTAACAACCGTTTGTCTAACTCAGGGGTAGGCAATCTGGGCTCTTTTATGACTGGTGGACTTCAACTCCCAGAATTCCTGAGCCAGCATGGGGAAACTAGGGCCACCTCATGAGTCATGGACTTCAACTCCCAGAATTCCTGAGCCAGCCTGGCTCAGCTTGGAAACCTCCCTTTCCCCTCAGCGTGCCTGCTTTAGGAATTCTGGGAGATGAAATCCACTAGTCATCAAAGAGCCCAGGTTGCCTACCCCTGGTCTAACTTAACAGCTGCAGTGATTCGCTTAGCAACGGTGGCAAGGAAGATCGTCAAAAAATGGGGCAAACCTCACTTAGCGGCTGTCTCACCAATGGAAACCTTGGGATCCGTTGTGGTCGTAAGTCGAGGACTGCCTGCGTTCTCTGCTCACCGTCTTCCCTTCCCTTCTAGTTGCCTGCAGGGGCTCTTTTTCCGAACGCTGAGCCTCTTGGAAAAGGGCATCCAGCCGGTCTTCGTTTTTGACGGGAAGCCCCCGGAGCTGAAGCAGCGGGTGGTACGTACAAATTTGGGGGTGGGGGGAGTGGGAGACGATGCCCATATAAACTCCTGCTTGCAGAGCAGAGGGAAGAGAGAGAGAGAGTAAGCCGTTGGGGGAATCTCCAGCCTTTGGAGGAAGCCAGCCAGCCAGGGAGCCCCCCAAAGCCCTAGGGACTGAATTCAGGGAGCCGGTCGAAGGAAATCACTTTGATGATGTTACCTAGTTGGGTCATGAAAGGTCTGCAAGAAAACCACCAAGCTCAGAGGGCACCAAGGACTCCACAGCTGTCGTCCTCCTCCTCCTCCTCCTCCTCCTAACCCCATTCCCTTTCAGCACTGATGGTGTTCCCTAGTTGGACCATGTCGTCCTGCTCCTCCTCCTCGTCTCCGCAAACCTAACTCCCTTCTAGCATTGATGATGTTCTCTAGTTGGGTCATGAAACATCTGCAAGAAAACCAGCCAGCTCAGAGAGCACCAAGGACCCCACAATCATTCTCCCCTTCATCTTCATCTTCCTCTTCGCCTCCTCCTCCTCTCCACAAACGCCGCTCACTTCTAGCACTGATGACACTAACTAGTTGGGTAATGAAATGTCTATAAGAAAAGAACCAGGTTCAGAGAGCACCAAGGATCCTACAGTCCTCCTCCTCCTCCTTCTTTCCACTCCCTTGTAGCACTGACGACGCTACCTAGTTGAGTAATGAAACGTCCGCAAGAAAAAAAACAGAGCACCAAGGACCCCACACTTCTCCTTCTTCTCTCCCCAAACCTCCCTCCTTTCTAGTACTGACGATGTTGCATAGTCAGGTCATGAAACGCCTGTTTTAAAAAAATAACACCCCGTTTTAAGAGCACCAAGGATGCCCCAGTTCAACCCTGGGCTACAAATAATCTCCGTTATTAGGAAATCACTCGATCCTGCCTTTCCTTTGCAGTTAGCCAAACGGGCCACCACCTCTGGAGCCAGGAGGGGGACTGCAGGTAAAGACGGGACCTCCCTTCTTGCCCGGGCGGGTTGGGGGCCTCCGGGATTCCAGCTGCCCTCTGACTCTTTCTTCCTGCTCCCCTTTCAGACTCCGACGTTCCAGCGCGGCCCCCAAGACGAGACTCGGAGACCCTTTTGACTCTCCTGGGGGTCCCTTACATCCAGGTAAAAGCCCGGCATCCTGTTTGTTGACAGCGGAGGGTCTTCACCGCCTTGCTTTGGGGTGGGGGTCTCTGTTTTGGGCTCCGCTGGGAGCCCAGTTTGGTCCTCCCAGCTGGGTGGGTTACCTTGTCCACTGCGGTTACTTTGACTACAGCTTATGCCATTGGACTCCAAAATATCCCTTGCTGAGCAAGACACTCCATTTTATATATGTATGTATGTATGTACGTATGTATGTATGTATATAATGTTTTATTGATTTTCTAATTTTACCTTTAAGTATTTAAAAAGCAACGTGGCGGTTGAGTTAATCGATAATTCAATGGCATACAAGTATCTTTAGTATAGGGGTAGTCAACCTTGGCTCTTTTATGAGTCGTGGACTTCAATTCCCAGAATTCCTGAGCCAGCTAAGCTGGCTCAGGAATTCTGGGAGTTGAAGTCCACGAGTCATAAAAGAGCCAAGGTTTTACTACCACATTAAATATTTCCTCTCTTTTTCCCTTAGTGTTTACTGTCCCACATTTAAACTAATACAATTCTTATTATATCAATTAAATAAAAATGACATTCTTACATTTATCAATAATTTTTAGCTTATACATATCGTGGTTATTTTAACATTCGGTCTTTATGGGCAATCAATGTCCTAATTAGTTTTTCCCAATTTTTAGTGTCCCATTAATGTTTAAATTTAACATTTAATATTTATAATTTCCAAGTTTTAAGTAACCAAAGTTCCCTTTATCACAATTCATGTGATAAAGTCTAATATTCAGAATACAAGTCTTATCTATTTGAATATGTTCTATTTCTCACCATCTTACATCATCTAATTAATAATACAGTATAACATTCTTATTTTCTATTAATTTCCGAATGTCTTAAATTTGGTGACCAAACTTTCTCTTGTTTCAGCATCAAATACCTCCTCTCTTTTTCTCTTAATGTCTAGTATCTCATATTTAAGCTAGTACAGTTCTTATTATATCAGCTAAGTAAAAACATGTTTATTACATTTATCTAGATTTTTAGCTTATATATATATATATACATATATATATATATATATATATATATATATATATATATATATATATATGTAGGTCTTTGGTTGTTCGGGTTTTCTCCCACGTAAAATTGGAAGTGTCTTGGCGACGTTTCGACGAAGTCCCATTCGTCATCTTCAGGCTGGTGTTTTCAGCTTCGTGCTTCGAGCAGCAATGTGTGGTCTTAGCTGTTTCTTCCTTTTAACTGCCAGTGGGGGTATGAACTGATTGGGTGGGAGCTTGGCTGTGTTCTGATTGGGTGGAGGTGTGTTCTGATTGGTTAGGGGCTTGGCTGTGCTCTGATTGGCTGGGGGCTTTGGCTGTGCTCTGATTGGCTGGGGGGTTGGCTGTGCTCTGGGAGTGTTCTGTTTGGTTGTGCTCAGGTTAGTCTGAGTTGCAGAGGGGTTTAAGATTTTGGGCTGCCTTGCTATTTTTTGGCTTCGCGTTCGTGGTCGTGCCTCCTCTTCACGGAGGGTGTCAGTTTGCTTCATGTATGGATTGGAGGGGTTTAAAGTGGCTAATGAGAGGAGGCACGACCACGAACGCGAAGCCAAAAAATAGCAAGGCAGCCCAAAATCTTAAACCCCTCTGCAACTCAGACTAACCTGAGCACAACCAAACAGAACACTCCCCCAGCCAATCAGAGCACAGCCAACCCCCCAGCCAATCAGAGCACAGCCAACCCCCCAGCTAATCAGAGCACAGCCAAGCCCCTAACCAATTAGAACACACCTCCACCCAATCAGAACACAGCCAAGCTCCCACCCAATCAGTTCATACCCCCACTGGCAGTTCAAAGGAAGAAACAGCTAAGACCACACATTGCTCCTCGAAGCACGAAGCTGAAAACACCAGCCTGAAGATGATGAATGGGACTTCGTCGAAACGTTGCCAAGACACTTCCAATTTTACGCGGGAGAAAACCTGAACAACCAAAGACCTACATACAAATACCCGCGAAAACCTCAGAAAACATATATATATATGTATATATATATATATATCTTAAGTACTTTACATTCAACCTTTATAAACAAATCAATATTCAAATTTAACTTTTAATATTTATACTGCCAAGTTTTAAATAACCAAAAATTTTCTTTATCTCCGTTCATAACAAAATCTAGTATTCAAAATACACATCTTGTCTATTTGAGTATATTCTATTTTAATCGTAACCCTTTTTTTTATCACCGTTGTTATGTGAATCACTGCAATTGTTAAATTAGTCACACGGTAGTAAAGTGGATTGTCAGAAGGTGGCAAAAGGCGATCGTGTGACCCCCCCCAGGGGACCCCGCGACCGTCGTAAGTATGAGCCAGTGGCTGAGGGTCTGAATTCGGATCACGTGACCGTGGGGGGGGGGTGCTGCAACAGTTGTACGGGTGAAAAATGGTCCTAAGTCCCTTTTTTTTCAGTGCCTTCAGACAGTCACTAAATGAACTGTTGTAAGTCGAGAACTACCTGGAAATGTTCTTGCTGTTTCACCTGCAAAGCAGGGTGTCCGTCTCTTTGGCCCACGATCCCCAAACATCTCACCATTCTGGTGGGTGAGGGTCGCAGTGGGGAAGGGGCTGGGCCAGGAGGGGGGAACCCAGCTCCAGGTCCTCTCAGGATCCTCCCTGGGGGGGTTTGGACCAGCCCCTCCCTCTCAGCCCAGTAGCAAAGGGGGTCCCAGTGGAGAGGGGAATAGACTGGGAGGCGAGAGATCCAGGTAGCAGGCCGCCTCAAGTTAAAACCATTAGTGACAGTTCGAAGTCACAAGAACACTAAAAAGGGGGGGCTGGCGACTGTTTTTCACATTACGACCATCGCAGCGTTCCCGTGGTCACGTGATGGAAATTCAGGTGCTTGTAGCTTGTACTTACGACGGCCACAGTGTAATGGGGTCACGGGATCCCCTTTTGCGACCTTCGGACAAGCACAGTCAACGTGCGAAGCCCAATTTACTTAACAACCGTGTTTAATAATAATAATAAAGTTGGAAGGGACCTTGGAGGTCATCTAGTCCAACCCCCTGCTCAGGCAGGAAACCCTAGACCATTTCAGACAAATGGCTGTCCAGTCTCTTCTTGAAAACGTCCAGTGTTGGAGCATTCACCGCTTCTGGAGGCAGGTTGTTCCACTGGTTAATTGTTCTAACTGTCAGGAAGTTTCTCCTTAGTTCTAGATTGCTTCTCTCCTTGATGAGTTTCCATCCGTTGCTTCTTGTCCTGCCTTCAGGCGCTTTGGAGAAGAACTTGACTGCCTCTTCTTTGGGGCAGCCCCTGAGATACTGGAAGACTGCTATCCAGTCCCCCCCCCCCCCGTCCTTCTCTTCGTTAAACTAGACATACCCAATTCCAGCAACCGTCCTTCATATGTTTTAGCCTCCAGTCCCCTGATCATCTTTGTTGCTCTTCTCTGTACTCTTTCTAGAGTCTCAACATCTTTTTTACATTGCGGTGACCAAAACTGGATGCAGGATTCCAAGTGTGGCCTTAACTGCAGTGATTCACTTAAGAACAGTGATAAAGGGTTGTAAAATGGGATGTCTTGCTTAGGAAGGGACATTTTGGGGCTGGTGGCGGTTATAAGCTGTAGTCCAGCCGCAGTGCTAGAAGGCAGGGAGGTGTGCAGAGAGGAGGAGGAGGAAGACAGGGGTCCTCCTCCTCCTCCCTCTTTCTCATTTTCCTCCTCCATGCAAACCCCATGGCCGTCCTGGCACTGATGATGTTCCCTAGTTGGGTAATGAAATGTCCACACTCAAACCAGAAACCCCGTAGCTTTACTTTCTTCATCTGGGCTCACTGTTTCAACCTCCATCTGACTGGAAGTTTCCTTCCTGCCCTTGGGGTGGGACTTAGGCCCCGGCGGAGGCAGAAGCCACATGTGCCGCCCTGGTGAAATCTGGCCACGCCTGGTGTGTAGCCACGGAAGACATGGACGCCCTCCCCTTTGGGGCCGTGCGCCTCCTGCGGCACCTAAGCATGAAGAAGAGGTGAGAGTTACGGGCGGGAGACCATAAAACTAGTTGCAGATGTTGAGATCGGGCTGTCCAACCTTGGCAGCTTTTAGGACCTGTGGACTTCAACTCCCAGAATTCCCTAGCCAGCGTAGTTCCCTCACGCTGGCTGAGGAATTCTGGGTGTTGAAGTCCACAAGTCATCAAAGGGTCATAGTTCCCTCACGCTGGCTGAGGGATTCTGGGAGTTGAAGTCCACAATCATCAAAGGGTCATAGTTCCCTCACGCTGGCTGAGGGATTCTGGGAGTTGAAGTCCACAAGTCATGAAAGGGTCACAGTTCCCTCACGCTGGCTGAGGGATTCTGGGAGTTGAAGTCCACAATCATCAAAGGGTCATAGTTCCCTCACGCTGGCTGAAGGCTTCTGAGAGTTGAAGTCCAAAAGTCATCAAAGGGTCATAGTTCCCTCACGCTGGCTGAAGGATTCTGGGAGTTGAAGTCCACAAGTCATCAAAGGGTCATAGTTCCCTCACGTTGGCTGAGGGATTCTGGGAGTTGAAGTCCACAAGTCATCAAAGGGTCATAGTTCCCTCACGCTGGCTGAGGGATTCTGGGAGTTGAAGTCCACAAGTCATCAAAGGGTCATAGTTCCCTCACCCTGGCTGAGGGATTCTGGGAGTTGAAGTCCACAAGTCATAAAAGGGTCATAGTTCCCTCACGCTGGCTGAGGGATTCTGGGAGTTGAAGTCCACAAGTCATCAAAGGGCCAAGTTTGAAGACCCCCTGCTATAGCTGTTCAATCAGGTTTGTCTAATCTTCTGTTTTAATTAAAAACTGTAGTTGCCCCTAGATCAGGGTTAGGGAGCCTTGGCTCTTTTATGACTTGTGAACTTCAACTCCCAGAATTCCTGTTTGTTTGTCCTGCCCTAGGGTCCAATTTTTAAAACTCTTTTATCTTTTTATGTCTTAGGCTGGGGAAAAAACCCAAACAGGTTGACTTTCCTACCGGTCCGACTCTAGGGGGCGCTGTTCAACTTCGATTCACAGTGCCTGGCATAGCTCTATATGCCATGGGTCTTCAAACTTGGCCCTTTGATGACTTGTGGACTTCAACTCCCAGAATTCCTCAGCCAGGCACATGTGCCTGGCTGAGGAATTCTGGGAGTTGAAGTCCACAAGTCATCAAAGGGCCAAGTTTGGAGACCCCTGCTCTATGCCAAAGGCCATGGAATGCCACTGATAGTTTTTCTAAAATTAAAGTCTCAATTAGCTTTTTTAATTAGATTAATGAATTCATCCCCGATGTTTTTTTGGTTTGTTTGTTTTTTTGTCCAGCTGTCTGGAAGAGATCTCCTTACCCACTGTCCTGCAGAAGCTGGGGATGACCCAGGAGCAGGTGAGGGGAAGTCCCAGGTGCGGGGAACTGGCCTGGATTTGGCCTCCAGCATTTCAGCCTTTGCCCACCACCCTTGTCTGGATTTGGAAGCCGAGCAGAACTGGGGATCCTTTGGCATCCCCACGAGATAGACCCTCCCCCTTCTAAGACACTGGGGTGCAGTTTACTCTGGGAAACAGTGGAATAGCTTGTCCCCAGGGGTGGGGCGTGCTCCGTGAGTGGCGCTTTTCAAAAATAGACTGGACAACTGTTTGACTAGGCTGTTATAAGGCATCCTGCCTTGGACAGAGGGCTGGACTAGAAGACCTCCAAGGTCCCTTACAGTGCTAGGATTCTCTGATCGATTTGTCGGTCTGTCTGTTTATCATCCATCCATCTGTCCATCCACCCATATCTGTCTGTCTGTCTATCTATCTATCATATTTATCCATTTATCCCTATCTGTCTGTCTGTCTGTCTATCTATCTATCTATCGATCGATCTATCTATCTATCTATTTTCAAGAAAACAATGGACAACAATTTGTCTGGGATGATATAAGCTATCCCTATCTATCTCTCCATATCTATCTATCTATCTATCTATCTATCTATCTATCTATCTATTTTCAAGAAAACAATGGACAACAATTTGTCTGGGATGATATAAGGACTCTTGCCTTGAGCAGGAGGTTGGACTAGATGACCTCCAAGGTACCTTCCAGCCCTATGATTCTCTGATCGATTTGTCTCTGTGTGTACATCTGTCCATCCACCCATATCTATCTATCTATCTATCTATCTATCTATCTATCTATCTATCTATCTATCTATCTATCTCTATCTCTATCCATCCATATCTATCTATCTATCTATCTATCTATCTATCTATCTATCTATCTACATCTCTATCTATCTATCTCTATCCATCCATATCTATCTATCTATCTATCTATCTATCTATCTATCTATCTATCTACATCTCTATCTATCTATCTCTATCCATCCATCTCTATCTATCTATCTATCTATCTATCTATCTATCTACATCTCTATCTATCTATCTCTATCCATCCATCTCTATCTATCTATCTATCTATCTCTATCCATCCATATCTATCTATCTATCTATCTATCTATCTACATCTCTATCTATCTATCTCTATCCATCCATCTCTATCTATCTATCTATCTATCTATATCTATCTCTATCCATCCATATCTATCTATCTATCTATCTATCTATCTATCTATCTATCTATCTATCTATCTATCTATCTACATCTCTATCTATCTCTATCCATCCATCTATCCATCCATCTCTATCTATCTATCTATCTTGGGGGCCTTGCAAAAGAGGGTCAAAATGGTGGCCAGTCTAATCTCTGCGGGGATGAGGGAGTGAGGGAGCCACCATGGAGGAGGCCCTTCTTTTGGGTCCCGCCAGATGGACCTCCTTAGGGAACGGGACCCGCAACATTCCCTGCCTCCCCCGCTCTGCTGGGTCGGGGAGCTGTGACTGGGAAAAGAGAGAGGGTCCCTCAGTCATTTTTCGTGCCATCTGGCTAGTTTATTTCTTCGATTGAGCTCGGTTGTTAGGCTTCAGCTGGGAGGCCTTCCTCTGCAGCATCCTTGCCCTCTGGCTTTCCCTCCAGATTTCCAGAACATCTATATTAATAATATTAACAATATTAATATTAACAATAATGTTAATAATAATAATAATAATTAATGATAATAACAACAACTGCCTGAGCAGGGGGTTGGACTAGATGACCTCCAAGGTCCCTTCCAACCTCATCAGAGAAGAGCAACAAAGATGATCAGGGGACTGGAGGCTAAAACATAAGGAACAGCTGCTGGAATTGGGGATGTCTGGTTTAATGAAGAGAAGGACGAGGGGGGACAGGATAGCAGTCTTCCAATATCTCAGGGGCTGCCCCAAAGAAGAGGGAGTCAAGCTATTCTCCAAAGCGCCCGAAGGCAGGACAAGAAGCAACGGATGGAAACTCATCAAGGAGAGAAGCAACCTGGAACTAAGGAGAAACTTCTTGACAGTTAGACCAATTAACCGGTGGAACAACCTGCCTCTAGACGTTGTGAACGCTCCATCACTGGAGGCCTTTAAGAAGAGACTGGACAGCCCTTTGTCCGAAATGGTATAGGGTTTCCTGCCTGAGCAGGGGGTTGGACTAGATGACCTCCAAGGTCCCTTCCAACTTATTATTACTATTATTATTATGGATCATCGCATAGTCAGCCAGATGCTCAGACTGGATTTGGCATTTTGTCTACCTATCGAGTCCTTACCCAGGACCTGGGATAGGCAGATGTGGATGTTTGATGGTATTACAGATCTCGTCGCAGGATGGAAGCAGTTCCTAGTAAGGCCACCTTTTGCAATTGACTAATAGTGAATTTGTCAATGCCAATGGTGGTGGTATTATTATTATTATTATCTGGGTGGGTAGAGGAGCCCTCTTTTGCGTTTCCTTTCGCCCAGCAGCGCCCCATTCCTCTCTCTCTGCTCTCTCTCTCTCTCGGCCGGTCCCAGTTTGTGGACCTCTGCATTCTGCTGGGCTGCGACTACTGCCACAAGATCCGAGGACTGGGCCCCAAGAAGGCCCTGAAGCTGATGCAGCATCACGGAAGCATCGAGGAGGTCCTGCGGAATACCAGTCGCCAGGTACCCGGCCGGCCTCGCCCCTGCCCTTGATCCCACTCTGGGCCCTCTGCATGCGGCCAGCCTCTGCCCTGCCTCGACCCCAGCTGCGTTGGGAGGAAATCCCTGGTGGGACAGCCGTGAGCCGGATGGCTGAGACCCTCCAGAGACACTTAGGTCTCTAAGAAAGCCCCGTTATGAAAGCACAGGCCAGTAAGGAGAACTGGCAATGTCTTCAGCTTTGTGTGTCCTGCCAGTCTCAGCCATGCCATTTGTGTATAGAATCATATGTCTGGAAGGGACCTTGGAGGTCATCGAGTCCAACCCCCTGCTCAGGCAGGAAACCCTAGACCAGTGTTTCCCAAACTTGACAATTTTAAGGCATGTGGACTTCAACTCCCAGAATTCCACAGCCAGCGTTGCTGGCTGTGGAATTCTGGGAGTTGAAGTCCTCATGCCTTAAAATTGTCAAGTTTGGGAAACACTGCCCTAGACCATTGCAGAGAAATGGCTGTCCGGTCTCTTCTTAAAAACTCCCAGTGTTGGCGCATTCACCGCTTCTGGAGGCAGGTTGTTCCATTGGTTAATTGTTCTAACTGTCAGGAAGTTTCTCCTTAGTTCCAGGTTGCTTCTCTCCTTGATGAGTTTCCCTCTGTTGCTTCTTGTCTTTGCCTTCAGGTGCTTTGGAGAATAGCTTGACTCCCTCTTCTTTATTGCAGACCCTCAATTACTGGAAGACTGCTATCCTGTCATCCCTACTCTTTCTCTTTGTTAAGCTAAATATACCTAGCCCCCTCAACCTTTCATTATACAATTTGACTTCCAAACCCTTTATTATATGTAGCTCTTCTCCAAGCCTTTTCTAACGGGCATTGGATGCTTTACATGCCTCAGATAAGTGGAAGGGTTTTGTAAAAGAACTATCTCAGCAGAGAGACCCAATCTGGTGTCAGCAGTTAAAGGCCTTGGGCTAGTCCAGGGGTAGGCAACCTTGGCCCCTTCATGACTCGTGGATTTCAACTCCCAGAATTCCTGAGCCAGCATGGGGAAACTATGGCCCCTTCATGACTGGTGGACTTCAACTCCCAGAATTCCTGAGCTAGCTTGGTTCAGCTTGGAAACCTCTCCCTTTGCCCTCAGCATGGCTGGCTCAGGAATTCTGGGAGTTGAAGTCCACAGGTCATAAGCCAAGGTTGCCTATCCTTGAGGTCTAGCTTGTTACAGAATCCTATAAAGGTTAAGTCAATAATGAGCCTCAATTTTGCCCCCAAAACATATATCTAGTACAGGGGTAGGTAACCTGGGCTCTTTTATGACTGGTGGACTTCAACTCCAGGATTCCTGAGCCAGCCATGCTGAGGAGAAAGGGAGAGGTTTCCAAGCTGAGCCGTGCTGACTCTGGAATTCTGGGAGTTGAAGTCCATGAGTCATAAAGCAGCCTAAGCCTAGGCCAGGGGTAGGCACCCTTGTCTCTTTTATGACTTGTGGACCAACTCCCAGAATTCCTGAGCCAGCATGGCTCAGCTTGGAAACTCTCCCTTTCCCCTCAGCATGGCTGGCTCAGGAATTCTGGGCGTTGAAGTCCACCAGTCATAAAAGAGCCAAGGTGGCCTACTCCTGGTCTAGTCTTTAGGAGACTCTGAGTTCTAGTCCTGCCTTTGGCCTGAAGCCAGCTCAGTCCCTTTCTCTCAGCCCTAGGAAGAAGGAGGCAAGGAACAACTATGTGTGAGAACTTGGCCACAAAAATCCAGTTATTCCTATAATATCTAGGAGTTGTGACTGCCTTGAAGGCATCCACATACAGATATGTGGGTAGACAGGATAAACTCACTAGTGTTTGCTAGCCTGGTGTAAGCTGTTCGGTTTGACCTAACATGTGAAAAGGAACACTCTCCAAGGTTTGGCAAGTCTTGTGAACGAAATAACAGAGTTGGAAGGGACCTTGGAGGTCTTCTAGTCCAACCCCTTGCTCAAGCAGGAGACGCTGTACCATTTTACACAAATGGCTATCCAGTCTCTTCTTAAAAATTTCAGTGATAAAACACCCACAACTTCTGGAGACAAGCGGTTTCACTGATTAATTGTTCTAGCTATCAGGAAAATTTCTCCTTGGGGAGAACTGTTAAGGCTGCCCTACAGCTCAACAGCTCCTCCACCTCCTAAACCCCTTGTCATAGGTGACCTTGAAAGGATAGCGTAGACTCTGAGGAGGAGGATCGAAAACTACTAGTGGTAGGGTCCCTACTTTACCAGAATCCCGAACAACGATGCTTCTATATTTTGGGGAATCTGGGAGCTGAAGAAACGAAAAATCTGAATGTCTGATTTGCTTTGCAGTGTAGACTAAGCAGACCTCTTGGATATAAGTAAAGTGATACTGACAATTGAGAAAAGCCACAAAGCTCCCTTCGGTGTCCATGAAATAAGTGCTTGGTGTTCTGAAGTGTTTGGCAATTTGCTTGCATTTACCTGACCAGGTAACACCATCAGGATTAATCCCTGCTTATCTGGATTTTGGCTGCTGTGCTTTTTTTTTTTTTGTTTCCTCCCTAATGTTTTTATAGTCTCTTGAATAGCTTGTAAATGTGGTTTTATCTCTAGAGGCCTGTTGATGGCTGATGGGTCTGAATGCCCAGATTTGATGGGATTAGGGGAAAGAGGGAGATCTAGTCCAGTGGTTCTTAACCTTTTTGAACAAATCGCCCCCTTGAGCCAGTGAGGAAGTTGTCATCACCCCCCTCCCCCAACATAACCTCTCAATCACAACATAGAAAATAATTCTTCAATTGATGCAAACACTTTTTTTGTTTTCTTTAAAATTGTCATCAGGACATATCGATGCAAATAATTTATTTCCAGTCTTTTTCCCATATCTGCCATATTCTGGCCAATGACGTGCCACTGTATGGGTAGAGGCTGCTGCACAACGTGCATGAAGATAAGCGATGCATCTTCACATATGTACGGCATTCTGTACTGAAGCTAGCTGGAGGAACATTTGAAAACACAATTCAATCCACTAATAGCGAGCAATCTGATGTTTTTGTACGACAAAGATACAGCGATTCACTGTATCTCAAAAGTGTCCCCAAAACTTCTTGCTCCATCGCCCCCTTTTCGTTCCATTGCCCCCCTGAAAAATTAAATTGCCCCCTGGAAGGGGGGGGGCAATATCGCCCAGGTTAAGAACCACTGATCTAGGACAATGGGAAGGGAAAGGGGAGGGGGATGCCGTCTCCATTTTGAGGTTTCTCCTTCCTTTGTCTTATTTTTTCAATTGCACCCCGTCCCACAAACGGCTCTCATGCCCAGCCAGGCCTTATATAGCAGCTCATCTACGTTTGGCACAAAAATCTGGTGTTGCTACTCTGCACTTTACCATGACCTCGATCAAGGAGAATATTTGTAGCCCAGGGTTAAAATGAGGCGGTCCTCATTTACTTTTAATTACCCAACTTAGGAAAGATGGGCTGAAGAAGCTAGAGAACATATAATCATAATCATAAAGTTGGAAGGGACCTTTAGAGGTCATCTAGTCCAACCCCCTGCTCTGGCAGGAAACCCTACGCCATTTCAGACAAACCACTGCTGTATTGGAACTTCCCCCGGGGAAGGGTCCTGCCGCGGGGCCAGCCTGGAAAAGGCCCTGCGGGGCGTTTGCCTCTCCCGGCAAGGCCTCAGTGGCACGCTCACAGGCCCAGGGCCGTTGGAGCAGGGCTGCTGCTGATGCTCAGGATTTCTTCCCCCCCCCCGCCCTCCGCAGAGCCACCCGATGCCGGACGGCTGGTGCCTGGAGGAGACACGGCGGCTTTTTCTGCAGCCGGAGGTGACGGATCCAGGCCAGGTGATGCTGGAGTGGAAGGAACCGGATGAGGAGGGCTTGGTGAAGTTCCTGGCGCAAGAGAAGTGCATGAAGTGAGTGGGCGACTGGAGCCTGGCCAGTCCCTTTGAGCCCCCCCCCCCCGAAGGTGCGGCCTGGGACTCAGGGTGTTGGCATCGGCTCTGGGGCTGGGAAAGAAGATGGGCTGGGCAAGCAGGTGGTTCTGAAGGCTCTAGGTGCTGGGCTCCTTCACTGACCACCTCAACAGGATGGGAACTGAGCTTGGTGCACTCTGAGCTTGGCTATTTTCCTGCAGACGTTTCATGACCCAAGTAGGGAACATCATCAGTGCTAGAAGGGAGAGGAGTTTGCATCTTCTAGCATTGTTGGTGTTACCTACTTGGGCAATGAAACATCTCCAGGAAAACAACCAGCTCTGAGAGTACCAAGGACCCACAGTCGTCCTCCTCCTCCTCCTCCTCCTTATAAACCCTGCTCCCTTGTAGCACTGATGATGTTACCTAGTTGGGTCATGAAACGTCTTCAAGGAAACCATGAAGCCAGAATGCCCCAGGGTTGAAATCCCCCAATGCAGGTCTTAAGGTGCCCTATGTGTCCATCCACGCCAGGCGTAGTCGGCGCTGCCTGTTTGCCGATGGGTCTAGCCAAGTAGGGGTGAACCCCACCCCACCCCATGCCTGCCTTCCCCCCTCCTTTTGCCATCTTCACCCCATCCCCTCTTCCACAGAGAGAGCCGAGTTCGAGGTCGCCGGAAGAGGTGGCGGGATGCCCGTCTGAAGCTCAGTGAGGCTTCCAAGTCCAAGGGCAAGGGCAAGTCAAGGAAGGCCACTGCCAGCCAGGCCATGACGGATTTCTTCCCGGTCATGAAGCGCCCAAACAAGGTGAGGAAAAAGACGAGGGACGGTGTTCCCACCCACCCCAAAAAAGAGAGCCCGGAGGGCAGGGGGGCAGGAGGGGGGGGCAGATGGGAGGGGTATGTGCTATCTGCCGAATTGTCTTTGCCCCATGACCTCAGCCTGGGGCCCTGGGCGGTTCCAAAAACTGTGTGTGTGTGTGTGTGTGTGTGTGTGTGTGTAAGAGACAGAGAGAAATGGATGAGAAAAAGAGATACAGGATAGATAGATGGAGAGACAGAGAGTAATGGATGAGAAAGAGATAGAGGATGGATGGAAAGAAGAGGGAGGGAAGGATTGAAAGAGAAAGATAGCAAGATTATTTATTTATTTATTTGTGAGACTTATATACCGCTTTAAGTGCAAGCACTCTCTAAGCCAGTGGTTCTCAACCTGTGGGTTGGGACCCCATTTGGGGTCGCACGACCATTTCACGGGGGTCGCCAAACAAGGCTGTCCGCCATTTTTTCCCCCTTTTCTTTGGCCACGCCCCTGGCACCCAGTGATGTATAAGTGGTTGGGGGTCACCACAACATGGGGAACTGTATTATGGGGTCGTGGCATTAGTGAGATTTGAACCGCTGACCTGCTGAACACTGTCAGCTAAAGTGGCCTGCAGTACTGCACTCTAACTGCTGCGCCACCTCGGCTCTTCTGGGAGTTGAAGTCCACGAGTCATGAGGGGACCATAGTTCCTCCATGGTGGCTCAGGAATTTATTTATGAGACTTATATACCACTTTAAGTGCAAGCACTCTCTAAGCGGTGTACACCAGTAAGCAATGTATATATCTATTTACATTGCCCCCAACAATCTGGGTCCTCATTTTACCTACCCCGGAAGGATGGAAGGCTGAGTCAACCTTGAGCCGGTGAGATTTGAACCGCTGACCTGCTGAACACAGTCAGCTAAAGTGGCCTGCAGTACTGCACTCTAACTGCTGCGCCACCTCGGCTCTAATGATGGATAGGTAGGTGGAGAGGTGGATGGATGGATGTAAAGCAGCGATTCTCAACCTATGGGTTGCAACCCCATTTGGGGTCGATCGACCATTTCACGGGGGTCGCCAAGCAAGGCTGTCCGCCATTTTTTTTCCCTTTTCCGGCGGGTGCCTTACCTCCCTTGGGCTGGGCCAGCCGGTGGCCCAGCCGGTGGTCGGCCTGCTCTGTCTCTGCCGCTTGCCAGCTACGCCTCGGCCGGCGCAGGGGGCGGCACCACGCATGTGCAGCACACCCAGGCAGAGAAAGTCCTCGACTTACGACCGGTTGGGTAGTCCTCGACTTACGACCGGTTTAGTCCTCAACTTACGACCGGTTTAGTCCTCAACTTACGACCGGTTGGGGGTCGCGGCATTAAAAAGGTTGAGAACCACTGATGTAAAGAGAAGAGGATGGACGGAGGAAGGGAGAGAGAGGAGAAGGTGGGAGGGAAGGATTGAAAAAGAAAGATAGAGAGATAATGATAGATAGGTAGGTGGGTGGGTGGGCAGGCAGATGGACGGATGGCAGGCAGATAAACAGATGGATAGATAGATGGGTAGGTAGGTAGATTAAGTGCTGATGGCAGCAGTTGGGACTGCCTAGAGCAGTGGTTCTCAACCTTTTTAATGCCGCGACCCCCAACCGGTCGTAAGTCGAGGACTACTCAATCGGTCATAAGTCGAGGACTACTCAACTGGTGCAGCACCGTTTGCGGAATGGGACTTTTGGCGGGCTCAGCAGGGCAGAGACATCCTGGACAATTCCTATTGGCTTTGGAAAGCCAATAGAATTAGATTCTATTCAAGAGAGTCCATTCTATTGGCTTTCAAAAGCCAATAGAATAAAAGGGAGGAGCACAGCTAAGGAAAAGGGGGAAAAAAAGGGCGGACTGCGTTGTTTGGCGACCCCCGTGAAATGGTCGTTCGACCCCAAATGGGGTCCCCACCCACAGGTTGAGAGGGAAGCAGAGGCATGAAATGTACCAGCTGCCTGGGCAGGGTAGGTGGGCAAAGGGACTAGGTCTTCGCAGCCTGGTCTGCAATCCAGTGTAAACAAGGTTAATGCTCACGGAGCATCGCGTGCAGTTTGAATTCAGCCCTGGGTCTGACCTGCCCCAGAGGTGTTCAGAGGTGGATACGGTTGAAGCACCGCGTTCCCTTTCTCCTGCCGCATCCCACAGAAGCAGCTTGCTTGCCTGTTTCCCTAACGCCTCCCTTCCTCTTTTATACAGTCACCCACTCATCAGTCTCCCAGGAAGAAGAAGCAGAAGCGCCAGGAAGAAGAAACGGAAGTGCCAGGAAGAAGAAGCGGAAGTGCCAGGAAGAAGAAGCAGAAGTGCCAGGAAGAAGAAACAAAAGTGCCAGGAAGAAGAAGCGGAAGTGCCGGGAAGAAGAGGCGGAAGTGCCGGGGGTCGTCTGAAACAGACCCAGGAATTGGAACAGTTTCCTCCCTGGCCCATTCCCTGGTGCTCCCTGAACTTGGTAGTGTCCCTGCAGACGTTTCATTACCAAACTAGGTAACCCCATCAGCGTGCCATCCGTTCCCTTTGTCTTGCACTAGACGCCTCCTCTGGTTCCGGGAAAGTTCTCTGCTGTCCTTCAACACACAAAACCGTCGACACAAGCATTGTATCTTGACAGCTGAGCAAAGTCAGCCAAGAGGTTGATGATGCCACCTTACAAATTAACCATGGTTCGATAGAATATTTGCGGCTGAGGGTTGGGCTGTGGGGGGCACCCCGGTGCTCTCTGAGCTTGGTGGGTTTTTTTGCGGACGTTTCATAACCCAACTAGGTAACGTTATCAAGGCTAGAAGGGAGTGGAGTTTGCGGAGAAGAAGAAGAGAAAATTGTGGGGTCCTTGGTGCTCTCTGAGCTTGGTGGTTTTCTTGCAGACATTTCATTACCTAACTAGGTAACGTCCTCAGTGCCGGAGGGGAGTGGTGTTTATGGAGAAGAGGAGGAGAGGGGAGGACTGTGGGGTCCATGTTTCATATTGCGCAGTTTCATGGATCACAGACATGGAAAATTACCTTAATAGACAATTTCTACGTTCTGCCCCTTTTGCTTTGGGGAGACAATAAAAGGAGGCATCAAGAGGAGATCTTGACTGTTTCCTTCCTCCCCACCTGTTTAAATGACAGGCGGGTTTCTGCAGAATCTATCTTAGGAGAAAGCTCTTGAGGGTTGGCTGATCTGTGGCCTCATTAAGCTGATGCATAATAACTAACCAAGGAAAGAAGCAACCTGAAACTAAGGAGAAACTTCCTGACAGTGAGGACAATTAACCAGTGGAACCACCTGCCTCCAGAAGCGGTGAATGCTCCAACACTGGAAGTTTTTAAGAAGAGACTGGACAGCCATTTGTCTGAAACGGTATAAGGTTTCCTGCCTGAGCAGGGGGTTGGACTAGATGACCTCCAAGGTCCCTTCCAATTCTGTTATTCTTTTTTTCCTTCCTTCCTTCCTTCCTTCCTTCCTTCCTTCCTTCCCTCCCTCCTCCCTCCCTCCCTCCCTCCCTCCCTTCTCCAACACTGGAGGTTTTTAAGAAGAGACTGGACAGCCATTTGTCTGAAATGGTATAAGGTTTCCTGCCTGAGCAGGGGGTTGGACTAGATGACCCCCAAGGTCCCTTCCAACTTTATTATTATTATTAAACGAGTGCATAAAACATCTATTTTATCTCCTTGGCAAAGGGGGGGGAAGATCAGACGTACCTCTTTCACGGCTCCTCTCCTTTTAGAAATTTTTACGGTTTCTTTTTTCCACTAGAATCAATCTCAAAGGCAGCAGGCTGAAGAATTTTTTTTAAAAAAAAGTCAAAATGATGGACACTCCTGATTAACAACGCCTGAAGTCTCTTCCAGGGTATTTTGGCAAAATTTAGGGACAAATCAGACCGACCATTGGATTTCCTATTTTAAAAATTGGGACAATCCATTGTTGCATGTTTCCTTGTCCCAACAACGTTTGATGTATCATGAAACCCACCAAGCTGGCTTAAGTTCCTCCTAAATTGTAATTTTTTTTAACATGGCAGAAAGAGAAAACTGCTAAATACATGACAGGGTTATTTATATTGGTTTATATCAGTTTGAGTTATACCGAAATATCAAACCAAATTTAATTTTGTCCCCGTGTTAAGAAATAGGTCATTGGTGAAACAGAATTAGTTAAAGATTGTATGGTTAAATGGGCTCAAAATATTCAAGAGCCGATTTTATTGGATACATGGGAGACAATTTGGGTTAGAAATGTAAAATTTACATTTTACACAAAATTTAAGAGAAAATTTTTATAAAATGTTTTATAGATGGCATTTGGATCCCCAAAAGTTGTCCCGCATGTATCCTAATTTACAGCCCAAATGTTGGAGATGTGGAAGTTTAGATGCAACCTATTTTCATATTTGGTGGACTTGTAGAGATATAAAAGCTTTTTGGATTAAGATTTGGTGGAATATTCAAAAGATTTTTAAAAGAAAGATAAAGTTTATTCCGCAATTATTTTTGTTGGGTATTATGGTTGATTTTGATGTTAAAGAAATTAATTTGATGCTGAATCTTATAACAGCTGCAAGATTATTGGTGGGGCAATATTGGAAGAAAAATTATTTGCCTACTATGGAAGAACGGATACTTAAGGTGTCTAATTTAGCAGAAATGGCGAAAATCTCCGCCTATTTGAAGGACCATTCACAAGAAAAATATATTTCGGTCTGGAGAAGATGGATTGATTATATTCAAAAGAAATATGAGACTGAAAAGTATTATCTTGCTTATGAGTAGATTTTAGATTATTATTAATAGTTTAATATGGTTGAATTTATTATTTTTAGTGTTATGGTTTAATTATATTATTATTTTTGTTTTTAATTAGTTAACATTTGTTTTGAAAAGGAGTTAAAGTATGTTATAGATTGATTGATAGTATAGTCGGGTAATGTTTGTTAGATTATGATTATTTATTTGTTACCCTGTAATCAGCTCTGGGAAGTGGGGGAGGGGGGAAGGGGTGGGAGGGGTTTGGGTTATATTGTATTAAATTTGTAAAACTTTTAATAAAAAAAAAAGAAATAGGTCATTGGATTTAGAAGCTCGTGAACGGAGTTTTGGCTGGTCATCTTTGTTATCTGTGGTGAGACAAAGTTAATGTAGATTTTAAAAACCGTTATTTCAGGTTGGCTATTCTTAAGGGTGTAGAATAAATAGAAATAAAGGTTCTGCCTCAAAACACCTTTGTGCCTTTCAGCTCGAGAACTATTTTATGGACGAGGAATGATAAGTAAACGTAAATGGTTAATTTATCCTGCTGTATTTTAATTTTCCCAAGCAGTCAGGGTGAAGGTTCGTTCTCCGAGCTTGTGGGTTGGTTCCTCAAGTGGACCGTAAAATAAAATGTAGAGAAGATTTAACAATAGAAGGATATCCTTGTCAGTAGTTTTTTTATGTCAAATTGTTAGAAAAACTTAAGGTGGATAAAATATTTTAGAGTTTTGAACCATGTAAGTTTGAAACATAATTATGTATGAACGATGAATATGTTATTTTTAAAATGTATAAACTTTCATTCACACTTGAAACAGAAGAATGAAGGAATGAAAGAATGCATGATAACATGCACTAAAAATTTGGTCGCAATATACCAAGGGAACAATGGGAAAATATGTGGTTGAAAGGATTAAAAGGTATATTGTGTTCTCCCCTTAAAAGAGAGTTTTTATAAAATGATGTATTGTTGATATTTGTCACCAGAGAAATTGTCTAGAATGTATAAAGATACAGGCAGTCCTTGACTCGTAACATTTCTGTTGCTAAACAAAACATTTGTTAAGTGGGTTTTGCCCCACTTTATGACCTTCCACAGTTGTTAAGTGAATCCTTGATATTGTTATGTTACTAACAAGCTTGTTAAATGAATCCAGCTCCCCCATTGACTTTGCTGGTCTGAAGGTCGGGAAAGGGGATCACATGACCCCAGGGGACGCTGCAACCGTCATAAATATGAGTCAGTGGTCAGGTGTCTGAATTTTGGTCACGTGACCCTGGAGGATGCTGCCAAAGTTGTAAGTGTAAAAAACGGTCATAAGTCAGTTTTTTCAGTGCTGCTGTAACTTTGAACTGTTGTGAGTTGAGGACCACCTATATTTTGAATCTTTGGCAAAAACGTAAACCCCACGAAGGAATGTTTTATTGTGTTTGATGGCCATGTAAAAACACTAAAAAAAATTGGATATATATATATGTTTTCTGAGGTTTTCGCGGGTGTTTGTATGTAGGTCTTTGGTTGTTCAGGTTTTCTCCCGCGTAAAATTGGAAGTGTCTTGGCGACGTTTCAACGAAGTCCCATTCGTCATCTTCAGGCTGGTGCTTTCGGCTTCGTGCTTCTAGAAGCACGAAGCCAAAAGCACCAGCCTGAAGATGACGAATGAGACTTCGTCGAAACGTCGCCAAGACAGTTCCAATTTTACGTGGGAAAAAACCCGAATAACCAAAGACCTACATATATATTTGTATATTAATTCAAAAGATTTTAAAGGCTATAGTTGAATCCAGAGCTTTTTCTTTTGGGACTAACAGCCAGGCGATTAGGAAAAAAAAAGTCCTGGCATTTTGTTTTTGTGTATAACAACTACAGCAAGACTATCATGTGTTCAAAAATGGAAAGGTGCAGCACACCCACAACAGAGGAACTGATGGCGAAGATTACGGAAGTTGCAGAGTTGCATAAATTAAACTCTTTGGGGGGAAAATGGGGGGGGGAGAAACAATGTCTACATTTATGGTCAACTGGAAATCCCTTACAGGCTTTTTGCAAGAGACTGGAAAAAATGCACTTGCAATGTGTGGCTTTGATTATTAGGAGGGAAAAAAGGATAATCGAAAAAAGTGAGCTCTTTTATAATCATAGGGTAAGATATATATATATATATATTGTAATTGTACTTATATTTGCCACAAAAGAACTCGGAAGCTTCTTTGTATTTTTTTATTCTTCTTTCTGTTGGCGCTTTCGGGTTGATGTTTTTTTCCTTTCCACTCCGTATTGCTCGGGGTTTGTTTTCGTCTTCTCTGTAAAATGTTTAATAAAATTTAGTTTCAAAAAATTAAATTGCTGGCCATACCCACTGTCCTTGGTGTTGCCTCTAGATGAGTTCGGCATCGGAAGGAAGGAAGGAAATGGAAAGGAGAAGGAGAAGGATGGGAAAAGGGGGAGGAAGAAAGGAAGAGGAGGAGGGAGGGAAGGAAGTGGAAGGAGGGAGGGAAAGAAGAAAGGAAGTAGAGGGAGCGAAGGAAGTATATATATATATATATATATAGAGAGAGAGAGAGAGAGATGATAAATAAGATATTAGATAGATAAATGGATGATGGATGGATAGAGATGATAGATGATAGACAATAGATGATTGATAGATAATAGATAGATAGATAGATAGATAGATAGATAGATAGATAGATAGTGGATAGATAGATGATAGATAGTGGATAGATAATAGATAGTAGATGATAGATAGTGGATAGATAGAGGATAGATAATAGATAGATAGATAGATAGATAGATAGATAGATAGATAGATAGATAGATAGATAGATAGATGGATAGATAGTGGATAGATAGTAGATAGATGATAGGTAGGTAGATAGATAGATAGTGGATAGATAGATAGGTAGATAGATAGATAGATAGTAGGTAGGTAGGTAGATTGATAGATGATAGATGGTAGGTAGGTAGGTAGGTAGATAGATGATAGATAGATAGATGATAGATAGATGGTAGGTAGGTAGATAGATAGGAAGGTAGATAGATAGATAGATAGATAGATAGATAGATAGATAGATAGATAGATAGATGATAGATTGGATGGATAGATGATAGACAGGCAGACAGATCTTGGGCATCTCCCTCAGATGCTAACTAGGCCTCCGTTGGAGGGAGGAATCGCTTGGCTTTCTGGCTGGGCTTTCTGAGAAAGCCTAAAGATCATCTCCATATTTTAACATGTTTTCTCCCCTCCACGGGAATCCTTCTGAAGCTGTCACTGCAGACTCCACTAGCTGTCAAGTATAAAGTTACCCAAAAGACAGCCAGTCCCTGAGGCTGCTCAGAGGATCTTGAGGCTTGTGTGTGTGTGTGTGTGTGTGTGTGTGTGTGTGTGTGTGTGTGTTTGCACTTGTGTCTGTCTAGGGGTCTTCAGGTGGGGAAGGTGACGCCAAGAGGGATGCTCCCTTCCAGATTGCCAGTTGCCGATTTGGTCCTTCCTGTTTTTATCTTTCCAAGCCTTTAATTGGGTGGCTGTAAGTGCTGCCTGAGTGCTGAGCGCCTGAACTGTGGCTGTTGAGGGGGGGGAGGGAAGGGGGGGCAGGACTGTCAGAACCTCTTACCTGGGTCATAAGTCCTCCCCCAGGTAAGTCTGTGAACCTGTCTGATTTGAGGACCACCTGTGCTTGCCATCTGCAGATTAGGATGGGTTGGGGGTCGCATCCTGGCGGCTGCTGGCCACAGTGAATCAGACCCCCACCCCAGGGAGTTGAGGGAGGTTCCTGAGGGAGGGTCCAGGGTCCCCCCTCCACCCTGCAAAGCCTCCTTCCCAGGGACAGAATTGCTCCCAGCCGATGAGCCTGGCCTGCGGGAGGGGTTTGGATTTGGCCCAGGTGCGTTGGGGGGGGTGTCTTAATCTGCTTTTCAATCAATGTATTGGTACTTTTCTGCTGCTGTCGTCCAGGGCCAAAACAAATCCAACAAATGCACAGGGACACACCAACACAGATGCACAAACACAGGTGCAGACAGGCGCTTAGAGACACACAGAGACAAACGGACACAAAAACACACACAAACACATAGGACCCAGACATACACACACACATAAGAGATAGATACACAAACGCAGGCAGGCGCACGCGCGCGCACACACACACACACACCCCAGACAGACACAAACACAGAGAGACACGCACACACCAGACAGACAGACACGCAGACACACCCGCAGTCACCCCCGGGCGCGCGCACGGACACACCAACCCAGACGGCCACGCATACAGCCACGCGCGCACACGGACACGCAGACACGCGGAGGGACGGAGGCGCGCACCAGCAGACACGAGCGCAGAGACCCCACTCCGGGACCCGGGTCGCTCCTCGCCTGGAACGTCTGAAGCGGGGGCGGCGGCGGCGCGTGTCGCGTCCTCCCGCCCTCCACCTGCCCGTCCTGGGCGGGGGAAGCGCGGCCAGGAGCGCCTCCTCCGCCTCGCGGGCATCCCCCGGCCGCCGCTGGGAGGGCTCCGGCCGGCCGGGCTGCTGCGCCACGGCCCGGCCCGCTCCGCCCGGCGCCCATGTACGCCTTCTACTCGCTGCTGGTGCTGCTCTTCTACGCGCTCTTCAAGAGGGGCGATGCGGGGGCGGCGGGGGCGGCCCGGGGGCGGCGGCGGCTGCGGAGGGTCCCCGAGGCGCTACCCCTCGCCCGCCCGGCCCGGGTAAGAGGCGGCAGGGACCGGCTGGGAAGGGACGGTGGGTGGGAGGGAGGGATGGGGAGGGGGCTGCGCGGGACCCTCGCCCTCTTCTTCTTCGCCGAGGAGATGCGCAGCCCTCCCCCAGCCCCCTCTAGCCGCCCCACGGGGGAGTGGGGGTCGCCCGGGGGGGCTTAGAGCCGAAGCCCTTGGGCGGGGGGGGGGCTGAACCCCCCCCTTGCCCTCTTGGAAGGGTCTGGAGCCCCGCTTGAGGGGGGGGCGTTTCCCACCCGCCCCACAGCTCCCAGGGCTCCGGAGGGGAGGGGGCGGCTGGACCCCCCCCTTGCCCTCTTGGAAGGAAGGTCTGGAGCACCCTTGCCCCGCTTGGGGGGGCGTTTCCCACCGCCCCACAGCTCCCAGGGCTCCTCAGGGGGGTGGCTGGACCCCCCTTGCCCTCTTCGAAGGGTCTGGAGCACCCTTGCCCCGCTTGAGGGGGCGTTTCCCACCGCCCCACAGCTCCCAGGGCTCCGGAGGGGAGGGGGCGGCTGGACCCCCCCCCTTGCCCTTTTGGAAGGAAGGGTCTGGAGCATCCTTGCCCTGTTGGGAGGGGCATTTCCCACCCGCCCCACAGCTCCCAGGGCTCCGGAGGGGAGGGGGCGGCTGGACCCCCCTTCCCCTCTTAGAAGGAAGGGTCTGGAGCATCCTTGCCCCGCTTGGGGGGGGCGTTTCCCACCCGCCCCACAGCTCCCAGGGCTCCGGAGGGGAGGGGGTGGCTGGACCCTCCTTGCCCTCTTGGAAGGGTCGGGGGTCGGCGAACAGCGCGGGGCTGGAGCCTCCTTGCCCCCTGGGGGGGCGTTTCCCACCCGCGCCGCAGCTCCGAGGACCCCGGAGGGGGGGCGGATAGCGAGGCCGGAGAGCGCCCCTCCCCCTTGGCCGGGTCCAGCTCCGCGGAGAACCGCAAACATCCTTGCAGCGGGGTTCGTTTTGAGGGGTGCAAAGCCCGCGGACCCCCGCGAGAGCCTCCTTTTCGGCGTTAGGGGGGATTCAGCGCGCCCCCCTGCCGCGGCCATGCAGGCTAGCCAGAAGTGCACCCCTTAGGCAAATGCATCCTCAAGGCCAGATTGGCGGCGGGGGGGGGGCTTGCAGAACAGCAGCCCACCCCCTTTCTGGTTGCAAGCAGCCTTTTCCCCTTTGCTGTAGGACAGTGTTTCCCAAACTTGACAATTTTAAGGCATGAGGACTTCAACTCCCAGAATTCCACAGCCAGCATTGCTGGCTGTGGAATTCTGGGAGTTGAAGTCCTCATGCCTTAAAATTGTCAAGTTTGGGAAATACTGCTGTAGTAACCCAATGCCTGGACCCTGACTGATTGATTGGTTAGTTAATTGATTGATTGCTCTCAGTGTCTAAAGCAGAGGTCATCTAGTCCAGCCCCCTGCTCAGGCAGGAAACCCTGTAGTACAGGGTTTCCTGCCTGAGCAGGGGGTTGGACTAGATGACCTCTAAGGTCCCTTCCAATTTTTTTTAAATAATTACTACTACTACTACTACTACTACTACTACTATTATTATTATTATTATTATATAATTTCATAAACAAATAATAGGTTCCACAAATAGAGAGGTGCATCTCCCAGAACTCCCGGCAAACTGGCAGTGCCGGAAGAGAGGACCCCTGAGCATGTACAGAGTGTCTCTTCCTCTTGGGACATTTCCAGGGCTTGTGGTTCTCCCAGGTGACTCTGCTTCAGGTCTCTTTCTTCCTCTGTATCACATATACAAACACACACACACACACACATACCCCTACACACCTGTCTTCTAGCAGGTGCAACAGCCTATAGATTTGCATTGCATGTTCCCTGGAGGACGAGAAAGAGCCCCACCCTCAGTGATGGGGTTTCCATGGTACCTGCCACCATGGAAACAGAGCCGGAACACCTTCCCCATTCAGGGACCACTCAGCTGGGAGAGGGGTTATCTTAGGCCAGCCCCCCAGGGACACCACACCTGGGTGCGTCTGGGCAAGGCTGTGCATGATGGAGAGCGAACCGTGAGCCACGGCGGAGGGCTCAAACTCCGGGGATTCGGCTCTCCTGGATCCCCCCCCCCCGGGAGTTTCAAGTAGCCCGGCCAGGATGGCAGTGAACCAAGCCAAGTGTCTCGCACCCATGTGCCACACCGGATCACGTGGTGCCAGTGCAGCTGGGTGTCTAGCCACTAAAATGGCACTTGCGTGTGTCGTCTCCCAGGAATGCCGAGAGGGAAACGCCAGTATTTGAAAGAGACAGTTTAGTCTAGTGCAGGGGTTCTCAACCTTGGCAACTTTAAGACTTGTGGACTTCAACTCCCAGAATTCCTCAGCCAGCTTGCTGGTTGAGGAATTCTGGGAGTTGAAGTCCACAAGTCTTAAAGTTGCCAAGGTTGAGAACCCCTGGTCTAGTGGTTAAGGCACCAGGTTAGAAACCAGGAGCCGGTCAGTTCTAGTCCCGCCTTAGGCATGAAAACTGGCAAGGTGACATTGGGCCAATCGCCAGGAGACTGGGAGTTCTAGTCCTGCCTTAGGTATGAAAGCTGGCAGGGTGATTTTGGCCCAATCATCAGGAGATGGGTAGTTCTAGTCCTGCCTTAAGCATAGAGGTTAACTGGGTGACTTTGGGCCAATCACCAGGAGTTGGTGAGTTCTAGTCCCGCCTTAGGTATGAAAGGCAGCTGGGTGACTTTAGGCCAATCACCAGGAGACGGTGAGTTCTAGTCCCGCCTTGGCCATGAAAGCCAGCTGGGTGACTTTAGGCCAATCGCCAGGAGACGGTGAGTTCTAGTCCCGCCTTAGGCACGAAAGCCGGTTGGGTGACCTTGGGCCAATCACCAGGAGACACTGAGTTCAAGTCCCGCCTTAGGCACGAAAGCCGGTTGGGTGACCTTGGGCCAATCACCAGGAGACACTGAGTTCAAGTCCCGCCTTTGGCATGAAAGCCAACTGGGTGACTTTGGGGCAATTACTCTCTTTGGGCCCAACCTACCTCAAGGGTTGTGGTGGTGGTGGAGAAAATGGGAAGCGGAAGGTCTATTAGGTATCCCTGCCTCCTTGAGTGATTTGTAAAAATAATAAAGGCAACATACAAACAAATAGATCCCGCAGTTTAGGAGAGGAATTCCGGGTGCCGGGCCTTATTGCCAGCCCTTGCTGGGCGAGCTGGATATTGTGGCCTATGCCAGCCGGCACCTTCTGAACGGGCTGAATCCCAGCCCCATGGAGATGTCCGGGGCAGGAGGCTGTGATTTGCCCGTTCCTAATCTAAAGCAGGCACCGGGGGGGGGGGAAATCCCCACCGACCCTCCTTGGGGGCTGACCTGTTTCTGTGCCCCCCCAGGACCACAGAACTTTCTCAGAGGAGCTGTCAGAGGAGACCCCCTCACCCCATCACCGATGGTTGCAGCTGATCGATGTGGACAGTAGGTGTCTCTTCTCTTCTGCCCCCCCCCACCACACTGGGGCAGGCTCAGCATGGGGGGAGGGGTTGGGCCAGTCACCCCTTCCCCCCCTCCCCAGCAACAGAGGCTGGCAAGGGGCGCTACCAGGGTTAGGGCCTGGGCAGGGTCCAAGGTCATCTGGGAAACTCTCACTGGAAGCAAATTGAGGGGTCTTCTTTCTGTGGGCTTTGTAGTTCAGACCCAAGCGAGCATGACGGGTGCTGGGTGCTCTCTGAACTCAGGGGTTTTCTTGCGGGCGTTTCATTACCCAACTAAGTAACCCTCCTTCCTCCTCCTCCTCCTCCTCCTCCTCCTCCTCCTCCTCCTCCTCCTCCTCCCAACCCCTCTTTCTTCTAGCACTGATGATGCTACCTAGTTGGGTCATGAAATGTCTGCAAGAAAACCCCCAAGCTCAGAGAGCATCAAGGACCCCACAATTGGTGTTATTCTCTTTCTCCTTCTCCTCCTCCTCCTCCTCTTCCTCCTCCTCCTCCTCCTCCTCCTCCCAACCCCTCTTTCTTCTAGTACTGATGATGCTACCTAGTTGGGTCATGAAATGTCTGCAAGAAAACCCCCAAGCTCAGAGAGCATAAAAGACCCCACAGTCGTCGTCCTCCTCCTCCACCTCCTCCTCCTCCACCTCCTCCCAACCCCTCTTTCTCCTAGCCCTGATGATGTTACCTAGTTGGGTCATGAAATGTCTGCAAGAAAACCACCCAGCTCAGAGAGCATAAAAGACCCCACAGTCCTCCTCCTCCCCCTCCTCCCTCCTACGTTCTCCTTTATCAGTAGCAAGCGAGCATCCCAGCCAAGCTGAGCCTGGCAAACTTTGTTGGCATGCATAGGTGGGAGGGGGTCCCTGGGGCATGGGGAGGGGGCTTTCGGTAAGGGGCAGCGACTCAATCTCACCGGCCTGCTTGCTCTTGGCAGGCAGCTCCGAGAGCGACCGAGGCAGCCCCTCCGATGAGGGGGAGGAGGATGACCTGTCCCTGGATGAAGCCCCCACCCCACTGACGGAGTTCCTGGCCCTCAAGCGCGAGGCAGCTGCTGCCGAGAGGCAGATGCTGTGTGGAAAGGTTGCCCCTGTTCTCCTGGCTTAGGGTGGGGGGGAGTAGCGGGGCCTGAGTTCAAATGCCCCTGGGCCCGGAGGAGGAAATGCCCCCCCCCAGTCCAGCCATGCCTCCTTCTTGCTGAAGGAGAAGCAAAGGAGAGGATCCCTGGGGTGCCAGTCTTGCAAATGTCCGGGGGTGGGGGACATTTCACCTGGGGCCTTCAGCAATAGCGGGGGGGGGGCTATAAGAGCCAGACCCTGCCTTCCTTTCCCCCTTTACTGCTGCATTCACACAACCTTGGTGCAGAGGCAGGGGTTCTAGTCCTGCCTTAGGCACAAAAGCCAGCTGGGTGACTTTGAGCCAGTCACCAGGAGATGGGGAATTCTAGTCCTGCCTTAGGCATGAAAGCCAGCTGGGTGACTTTGGGACAATCACCAGGAGACAGGGAATTCTAGTCTGACCTTAAGTACAATAGCCAACTGGATGACTTTGGGACAATCGCCAGGAGACTGGGAATTCTAGTCTGGCCTTAAGTACAACAGCCAGCTGGGTGACTTTGAGCCAGTCACCAGGAGATGGGGAATTCTAGTCGTGCCTTAGGCATGAAAGCTGACTGGGAGACTAGAGAGAACTAGCCTGCCGTTGTTCACCCTGTAGCTAACTTTGCTCTCCCCTCTTCCCATCTGCCCACGGGACCTCCATCCCCCCCTCTCTCCATGCAGCCCCCGGAGTCCCCACTGGTGCAAATGATGCTGCAACTGTTCTCCTTCCTGGAGCGCTACACCCAGTTGCAGCAGCTGCAGGAGAAGGCTGGCGAGTATCGTTCGCGCCTGCACTGGGAGGAGAGCCGTTGGCGCCGGCAGAAGCGGGCTTTGAAGAGAGCCTGCCAGCAGCGGGTGACGGACAAGCTCGGCGTGATCCAGAGCCTGGAAGCCATCATCCTGGAGCAGCAGGGCCTCCTGGAGAAGATGCAAGCAGGTGAGGTAGCCCTTGATTAGGATCCATTCGAAAAGCCAACACAGTCCTTGGTTCCATTAACAGAGGGAGAGAATCAAGATCAGCTGAAGGGTTAATACCACTTTACAAGGCCTTGGTAAGGCCACACTTGGAATACGGCATCCAGTTTTGGTCCCCACGATGTAAAAAAGATGCTGAGACTCTAGAAAGAGTGCAGAGAAGAGCAACAAAGATGATTAGGGGACTGGAGGCTAAAACATATAAGGAACGATTGCTGGAATTGGGGAGGTCTAGTTTAATGAAGAGAAGGACGAGGGGGGACATGATAGCAGCCTTCCAGTATCTCAGGGGCTGCCCCAAAGGAGAGGGAGTCAAGCTATTCTCCAAAGCGCCTGAAGGCAGGACAAGAAGCAATGGATGTAAACTAACCAAGGAGAGAAGCAACCTAGAACTAAGGAGGAATTTCCTGACAGTTAGAACAATTAACCAGTGGAACAACCTGCCACCAGAAGTTGTGAATGCTCCAACACTGGAAGTTTTCAAGAAGAGACTGGACAGCCATTTGTCTGAAATGGTCTAGGGCAATGGTTCTCAACCTGTGGGTCAGGACCCCATTTGGGGTCTAACGACATTTCACGGGGGTCGCCAAACAATGCCATTTTTTTCCCCTTTTCCTTAGCTGTGCTACTCCCTTTTATTCTATTGGCTTTTGAAAGCCAATAGAATAGACTCTCTTGAATAGAGTCTAATTCTATTGGCTTTCAAAAGCCAATAGGAATTGTCCAGGCTGTCTCTGCCCTGCTGAGCCCGCCAAAAGTCCCATTCTGCAAACGGTGCTGCACCAGTTGAGTAGTCCTCGACTTACGACCGGTTGAGTAGTCTTCAACTTACGACCAGTTGGGGGTCGCGGCATTAAAAAGGTTGAGAACCACTGGTCTAGGGTTTCCTGCCTGAGCAGGGGTTGGACTAGATGACCTCTAAGGTCCCTTCCAATTCTGTTATTATCTTTCTCCGAGGTGCCTTCCGGAGGGGCTGGCCTTCCTCCAGATCCTGGGGAGGGGAAGATGGAGGGCCCTCAGTGGGGGGCATTGCTTGGTCCACCTTGAGGAGCACAGAGTTCCAGGCTAAGCTTTGGCCACCCCTCCCTTTCCTGCCCCCCCGCCCCCTTCTCCTCCCACCAGGCTCGAAGCTGCCGTCCAGTGGCCTGCTCTGCCCCGTGGCCCCCGGGGGCCTGCACCAACTGGTGGAGTCCCTCAGCGCCCTCCAGGGGGAGAGGAGCCGTCTGGCCGAGGAGGTGGTGGGTCTCCAGCAGCGGGTCGAAGAGCGAGAGAGGGAGAAGCAGCAGCTGGCCAGGAGCTTCCACCACCAGGTGAGACTCCCGCCCTCCCTGTGGCTGCTGGATCAGAGCCCTGCACCCCCCCCCAGCCAAGCGCTGGCTATTGTGCTGGAGCAGGGGGTCAGACTAGACGATCTCCCAAGATCCCTCCCAAAGGGTTATTCCGTTACAGGTAACCCTTGACTTACGACCACAACTAGGCCCAAAATTTAGGTTGCTAAATGAGTCAGGTGAGTTTTGCCCCATTTTACGACTTTTCCCGCCAGAGTCGTTAAGCGAATCGGTGCAACTGTTAAGTTAGTAACACCGTCGCTAAGGGAATCCGGCTTCCCCATTTCACTTTGCTGATCAGAGGATCGCAAAAGGGGATCACGTGACCCCGGGACACTGCAACCGTCATAAGTACGAGTCAGTTGCCAGTGCCCAGATTCTTTTTTTTTTTGGTAATATTTTATTGGTTTTCCAATTTTACATTTGAGTATTTAAAAAGCAACATGGTGGCGGGGTTAATCAATAATTCAATAACAAATCTTAGGTTACATTATCATATATTTCTTCTCTTTTTCCTTTAACATTTACTACCTCATATTCAAGCTAGTACGTTTCTGATACTCAACTCAATGAAAACATCATTATTACATTGATCGATACATTTTTAGCTTATACATATCTTAATTAGTCTTCATAAAACACCCCATGTCCTGTTATTAATTTTTACCTAATTTTTAGTTTCTCATCAATATTCCAATTAACCTTTACTATTCATAATTTTCAGGCTTTGGGTAACCAAAGTTTTCCTTATCTCATTTCATAACAAACTGTAATATCCAAAATACACAATTTTACCTAGTTAAATGTCATCTTGTTCTATTTCCTAACAATTTTCTATTTCCCACCCTAATAAATCATCTACTTAATAATAGAATATCCCCTTAGATCAGTGTTGGCTGTGGAATTCTGGGAATTGAAGTCCACATGCCTTAAAATTGTCAAGGTTGAGAAACACTGCCTTAGATAGATCAATATACAGCAATGTGTAGTGCCTGTATATTGCGCACGAATTCTGATCCCGCGAGGGTGCTGCGACGGTCGTCAATGTGAAAAAAAAACAGTTCTGCGTCCCTTTTTTCAGTGCCGTTGTAACTTTGAACGGTCACTAAATGAACTGTTGTAAAGTGAGGACCGTCTGTATTTTATCGTCCCTTCTGTCGGAGAAGATCTTTTGACGGCCGCTTGGGGGTTGCAGGGAGAAGTGGGGGCTGCGGGGGCTTGGGTGGCCCCAAATCAGGCACCCAAAGAATTTGAGGGGGGGGCTTGAATGGGGGTGACTAGCCGGGGGCTCCTTTCCTGGCAGATCCGAGGCCTGAAGCAACAGATCCAAGTACAGGAGAAGGAACGGGAGCAGATCCGTCTGGGCATGGTGAGCAATGTGCCCCTCGCCACAGGCAGGGAGGCCAAGGGGAAACGGGGACCGGGGGGGGAGGGTCCCAGCAGGTGCTGTAATGGGGGAGGAAATGGGGGGTTTCTTCCCCAAGACAAACAGGCCGAGGCTCATGAAGAGAACTGGTGAATCATGAACTCATGAGGAAGGAGAGAAGCAACCTGGAATTAAAGAGAAATTTCCTGACTGTGAGGACAATTAATCAGTGGAACTGCTTGCCACCAGAAGTTGTGGGTGCTCCGTTGCTGGAGGCTTTTAAGAAGGGACTGGACAACCATTTGTCTGGAATGGTCTAGGGCAGGGCTAGGCAACCTTGGCTCTTTTATGACTGGTGGACTTCAACTCCCAGAATTCCTGAGCCAGCCATGCTGAGGGGAAAGGGAGAGGTTTCCAAGCTGAGCCACGCTGGCTCAGGAATTCTGGGAGTTGAAGTCCAAGAGTCATAAAAGAGCCCAGGTTGCCTACCCCTGGTCTAAGGTCTGCTGCTTGAGCAGGGGGTTGGACTAGATGACCTTCAGGGTCCTTTCCAACTCTGTTATTCTGTATTCTGACTTGCCTCCAGAAGTTGTGGGTACTCCATCATTGGAGGTTTTTAAGAAAAGACTGGACAGCCACCTATCTGGAATGGTCTCAGTGCTGGAGCAATGGGTTGGACTAGAACGGGGGTCCCCAACTCCCAATCCACGAACCGGCACCAATCCACGGCCTGCCAGCAACTGGGTCACGGAAACAAACGAAGCCCCTTCCGCGGGATGCAGGCAACAGGTGAAACCAGGCCCCCTCCGGTCCGTGAAAAAAAATCTTTCTCCACGGAACCGGTCCCTGGTGCCCAATAGGTTGGGGGCTGCTGGACTAGATGACCTCCGAGGTCCCTTCGGGAGCTCGCCTTGATTGAACGCCTCTTTGGCCCCCAGGGTGTGACGGACTCGGAGAAGCGGATCCACAACCTGACGGTGGAAAACGAAGGCCTGAAGCAGAGTCTGCAGTTCTCCCAGGGGCTCCTTCAGCAGGCGGCTGCCCTCTCTGCCCAGCCCTCCACTGGGATGGCCATGGTGAGCCCCTCCCCTGCCCCCTGATGGGGGCCAGCCCAGGGACCCCAATCCGGCCTGGGGGCCCGTAACCTCTTAAGAGTGGCCTTCCTGCTCCCGAGTGGGCTTAAATTCACATTCACCTGTCTGAGACAGTACAGGTGATCCTGCTTGAGCAGGGGGCTGGACTAGAAGACCTCCAAGGTCCCTTCCAGCTCTATTCTGTTCTGTTCTGTTCTATTCTATTCTCTTCTATTCTTTATTCTAATTTCTATTCTATTCTATTATTATCCTCTTCTCTTCTCTTCTAATTTCTATTCTATTCTATCATTATCCTATCCTATCCTATCCTATCCTATCTTATCCTATCCTGTTCTATTCTAATTTCTATTCTATTCTAATTCTATTCTATTCTAATTTCTATCCTATTCTATTATATTATCCTATCCTATCCTATTTTATTCTAATTTGTTTTCTATCCTATCCTATCCTATCCTATCCTATCCTATTCTATTCTATTCTATTCTATTCTATTCTATTATCCTATCCTATCCTATCCTATCCTATCCTATCCATTTTATTCTAATTTCTATTCTATCCTATTCTAATTTCTATTCTATTCTATTCTATTCTATTCTATTCTATTCTATTCTATTCTATTCTATTCTATTATCCTATCCTATCCTATCCTATTTTATTCTAATTTCTATTCTATCCTATTCTAATTTCTATTCTATTCTATTCTATTCTATTCTATTCTATTCTATTCTATTCAAATGGGGCTGGGGGAAGGTCAGCTCACCTCTGTGGAAAAGCGTCTTTTGAAGAGCGGAAATGCCCAGTCCTGCCACAGTGAGTTGCAAGGGCAGCAGTGCCAGAGTGCATGAGTCCTCTGAGCATGTGAAGAGTCACAGACATGCTCTGCTCTGCCATCAGACAAAGCGCTGAGCTGATTTGGCCGGGAAAGGGGGCGCCGGAGTTCAAAGGGGCTGGGGACTCCTCTGGGATGGGGGGGGGTCATCATGTCTTGGAATCTGCTCCTTCCTCCCCCCCCCCAAATTCTGCATGCAGCAGCATATAGGTGCGTGTAGGCGTGAGTTCATTCTTGCTGCTTGTGATGTGCTTTTTTCACACTTTTTGTGAATAAAAACTCTCGGGGCTGCTTGCAGGAGAACGAGGCTCTCCGCAGCCAGGTCCTGCAGCTGGAGGCCAGCCTGCAGCAGAAGGTGGAGGAGCTGATGTGCCTGGAGGAACGCCTGGACCGGCTGCAGTGCCTACGAGAGGGAGAGGTGCACCAGCTGGACAAGCAGCTGTGCGGGCTGCAGCTCCCCGGGGAGGGTCTAAAGAGCCCCCCTCCTGCGGTCCAGGTGAGTGTGGCTGGAGGCCCTTTGTGGCCCTAGACATGAGCCCCCTTCTCTGTATGGAAATACGTGGGAGGGGGGCAGGTGGCAGCAGGCTCTACCCCCACAAAGTGCTCTTGGCTGGGGTGGGCACGTCATCTAGCCTGGGTGGGGGGGCTGTCAGATCTTCAGCCTCCGACGTGTTTTATTTGCCTCTTCAACTTTCTCAAACAAAGGGCCAGGAATAAAAAAGAAGCGTAAAAAGACAATCGCGGAGAAAGGAAAGTAGACGTGGCTGGCAAGTTGTTATTCTTTATTAAATTTCCAGGCCACCCATCTCTCTTCCTGGGTGACTAATCATATCATTAAATAACAAAATAAAACTGTGGCAGGATGAAAACCGGAAGGCATCCGATGTTAAAAGCGGAAAGCTTAAAATTAAAAGTAAAACACGGGTCACCAGACGGGGAAAGAGGAAGCTCCCCAGAAATTATTGAGGACCTCGTCAAACAGCAGCCTGAAAAGCACAGGGACCCTTCCTTCCTCTTTGCCCCCTTTGCGCTCCGTTCTCCTCTTGAGGAAACAGCCCTGCAATCTCTCCCTAGGGCAGGGCTGCGCCACCTTGGCTCGTTTATGACTGGTGGACTTCAACTCCCAGAATTCCTGAGCCAGCGTGAGGGAAACTTTGGCCCCTTCATGACTGGTGGACTTCAACTCCCAGAATTCCACAGCAGCATGAGGGAAACTTTGGCCCCTTCATGACTCGTGGACTTCAACTCCCAGAATTCCACAGCCAGCATGAGGGAAACTTTGGCCCCTTCATGACTCGTGGACTTCAACTCCCAGAATTCCTGAGCCAGCGTGAGGGAAACTTTGGCCCCTTCATGACTCGTGGACTTCAACTCCCAGAATTCCACAGCAGCATGAGGGAAACTTTGGCCCCTTCATGACTCGTGGACTTCAACTCCCAGAATTCCTGAGCCAGCGTGAGGGAAACTTTGGCCCCTTCATGACTCGTGGACTTCAACTCCCAGAATTCCTGAGCCAGCGTGAGGGAAACTTTGGCCCCTTCATGACTCGTGGACTTCAACTCCCAGAATTCCTGAGCCAGCGTGAGGGAAACTTTGGCCCCTTCATGACTCGTGGACTTCAACTCCCAGAATTCCACAGCCAGCATGGGGAAACTTTGGCCCCTTCATGACTGGTGGACTTCAACTCCCAGAATTCCTCAGCCAGCATGGGGAACTATGGCTCCTTCATGACTGGTGGACTTCAACTCCCAGAATTCCACAGCCAGCCATGGCTCAGCTTGGAAACTTCTCCCTTTCCCCTCGGCATGGCTGGCTCAGGAATTCTGGGAGTTGAAGTCCACCAGTCATGAAGGGGGCCATAGTTCCCCCATGCTGCCTCAGGGATTCTGGGAGTTGAAGTCCACCAGTCATAAAAGAGCCAAGGTTGCCTACCCCTGGCCTAGGGGCACAACACATTCCTTGCCACATCAGCTGTTCCCAGCGTCACGTCAGCATTCTGGATAGATGCATTGTGCATGTGCTGGTGTCACTGGGCCAAGGTGATTCAGGCGTGATGTCCTGGGATAAAGTTGTGTCATTGTGGGCCTTTGTCCTGGATGACCCACACTGGCACTGTGGCTTCTCCCCATCTGGGCATGCCAGCGAGGGCCATCCTGGTCACATTGCCTGGCGCAGTGAAGACAGGGTCCTTGTGATGGGAAGCAAGTCGTTGGATCAGCTGGATGGGGCAGGAGAGAACAGAACAACAGTGCTCCAGTGCTGGAGGCTTTTAATAAGAGACTGGCCAGCCATTGGTCTGAAATGGTATATACCAGGGGTCTTCAAACTTGGCCCTTTTATGACTTGTGGACTTCAACTCCTAGAATTCCTCAGCCAGGCATGGATGGATGGATTGATGGACGGATGGACGGACAGATAGATAGACGGATGGATGGATGGACGGATAGACAGACAGACATATAGATAGACAGATGAATGGATGATAGATGGATGGATGGACGGACAGACGGATAGATGGATAGATGGGTGGACAGATATACAGACAGACAGAGACAGACATATAGATAGATGAGTGGATGATGGATGGATGGATGGATGGATGGATGGACGGACGGACAGACGGATAGATGGATGGACAGACAGACAGACAGGCAGACAGAGACAGAGAGACATATAGACAGACAGATGAATAGATGATGGATAGATAGATAGATAGATAGATAGATAGATAGATAGATAGATAGATAGATAGATAGATAGATGGACAGACGGACAGACAGACAGACGGACAGATGGATAGATGGATAGATGGATGGATGGATATACAGACAGACATGAATGGATGATGGATGGATAGATAGATAGATAGATAGATAGATAGATAGATAGATAGATAGACGGACAGACGGATGGATATACAGATAGACAGACAGATGAATGGATGATAGGATATACAGACAAACAGATGAATGGATGATAGATGGATGGATAGATACATAGATAGATGGACAGACAGATGGATAGATGGATGGATGGATGGATATACAGACAGACAGATGAATGGATGACAGATGGATAGATAGATAGATAACCAACCCACCCACCCCCTAGTTAATCACAGAAAAGCTGAGCAGGCCCAGAGCTGACTGGGGGAGCCCCAGAGAATCCTGAGTGGAAAGCCCTCCCCACTGAAAAATGCCAGCGGGGAAATCTGGAGCCCCCATTCTGACAAGCTGGGCGGGTGGCAGCTGAGGGGAGGGGCTAAAAGGGTCCCCTTGCAGGTGTTGAGGGGGTCTGATCCCTTCTGATGCGCTGTGCCGACCTTCCCCCCGCCCAGCGCCCAGCCAAGGGACTGCCGGCGGACCCCTCGCAGGAGCTGCAGGCGTTGGCCCAGGCGGAGGAGCAGAACCGGCTTCTGATGCAGCAGCTGTCCTCCCAGGCCCAGCGGTGCCAACAGCTGGCAGAGCAGCTGCAGAGTTCGGAGGGGGCAGCGACTGCCCTCCGGCACAAGGTAAGCTGGGGGTCTCGGGCGATGCTCTGCCCCGGGGGAGGGGCTCACCTCAACATCTGCAGGCCCCTCCCTAAAGGAAAGGGCGGCTGGTGGACTCTCCTTCCCTGGACAGGCTCAAATACAAAGGGGACGGCCTGTTCCCGGTCTGTGTGTGTGTGTGTGTGTGTGTGTGTGTGTGTGTGTTTGTGTGTGCTGTGGAGTCACTACAAGTAGCCCTTGACTTACAACCACCCATGTCATTTGAAGTTAAAACAGCACTGAGAAAAGCGACTCATGACCATGTTTCACACTTATGACCACTGCAGAATTCCCCAGGGTCACGTGATCAACATTCAGACGCTCGGCAACTGGCATGTACTTATGACTGTTGCAGTGTCCCCAGGAGTCACATGATCCCCTTTTGCGGCTTTCTGACAAGCACAGTCAATGGGGAAGGCAGATTCATTTAAGGACCATGTGACTGGCTTAACAACGGCAGCGATTCACTGGTTAAGGAAGGTCGTAGAATGGCGCAAGACTCACTTAGCAACCGTCTAACTTAGCTACAGAATTTGGGGTTCCCCAACCTTTCTGGCTGTGGACCGACGGGAGCAGGGGGAGAGGGGTAAGGGTCCCGCGCGAGTTGCCAGCAAGCGCACACGCAGCTCCGTTTCCTCGCGTGGTGTATAACACGCGCCAACCGCTCACACAAATGGAGCACACCCACTCGTCCGCTGCTGGAACAAGCGAGGAAGGCTATTGCGCGCTTGCCAGACGTTTCCGCAGCCCAGTTGCAAAACCCTCGCGGCCCGCTAGTGGGCTGCGGCCCACTGGTTGGGGACCCCTGTTTTAGAGCAAGGGTCCCTGTTCTGGATTAGCCAGTTAGATGGATCTGTATGTTAGAATGTTTGGCATTTATAAGGTTAGGCGCTGTCTCCTTAAGAAATGACTTATGGGTAATGTAATTTAGCTATTCAGTAAATCCCATGTTAACAGGTCAGTAGGAGGGGCTACTAAGTTCATCACAGGATATCCTGGGTACATGCCAGTTTGGAATGTCTTTGTCTGAGATAAGCATGAGTTCACCAGAGGACATACACGATCTTAACCCACGTTAGAAGTTGATGTGAAGGAATTATTGATTTTTTACCTATAAAGATGAACAGATATTCAATATCCAGAAGAAATTACAAGAACCGTGAGTTCAGCAGTATTCCTGAATAAATGTCTGTTTTACAATCATCTTTATTGAGTCATCTGTCTGTTCTTGAATTACAAAAACATCTTGATTCAGGTTTCAGAACAGTAAAAAATCAATAATTCCTGATCCTGTGATGAACTTAGTAGCCCCTCCTACTGACCTGTTAACATGGGATTTACTGAATAGCTAAACTATGTTACCGATAAGCCATCTCTTAAGGAGACAGCACTTAACCTTATAAATGCCAAACATTCTAACATACACACCCATCTAACCGGCTGATCCAGAACACTCCCCGCTTGGAAATATAATTTCCATTACTATCTACCTGAAATAGGCAAAAAACGTAGCATTGAGGCATGCAATTCTCATTGCTAACTAACTAGTGACTAAAATAGGCAAAACATGGTATCAAACATTCTAACACACAGACCCATCTAACTGGCTGATCCAGAACAGTCCCCAATCTTGGTGACTTTAAGATTTGTGCACTTCCAATTCCCAGAATTCAGCTGAAATCCAGAAGTTGTAAAAGTTGCCAAGGTTGGGGACCCCTGATTTAGAAGGAGGAACTTGAGGGAGGGTGTTCACCAGCCACATTAAAGGTGGAGGGTGGCCCCTGGCAGTGGCCCCCTGCCCCTCCTAAAGGGCCCTCTCTCCCTGACAGATCTCTGCCTATGAGAAAGAGGTCACGGGGCTGCGCCAGGAGCTGCTGCAGGAGATCCATCGGCTGGAGGAGCAGAAGGAGGTGGCGGTGCAGGAGGCTTGCCGGGGATCCGAGGAGCGTGCCCAGCCCCTGTGCCAGCAGCTGGCAGGTACTAGGTGGAGGAAGTCGGGGGGGGAGTGCATCAGGCCATAGGGAGGATAGATTCCTCCCCCCCCCCAGGAAAGGAGGGCTCCTGCGAGCATCTTGCGAGGAACCAATTTCCTCCTTGAAGCAACAGCAGGCTGGTGGCTCAGCCTGGCCTCTTCTCCCCCTCCCCCCATTTTACCCCCCCCCAACCTTCCAGGAATGAAGCAGCATCTGCACACCCTCCGCCCCTTCCTCCAGGGGCTGCGGTTGGATTTCCGGAGCTTTCGGGGAGAAGTGGGGAGTTTTGCCCACGGTTACAAAGCTGCCATTGAGGAAGTCAAATTGCAGGTGAGGCTGCCTGGAGGATTCTGGGAGTTGAAGTCCAGCGGTCTTCAAAATTACCAAGGTTGGAGACCCCCGTGCCGGGGGATGCCTCCCTTTGGCAGCTGGTCTCAACAGAGCCTCAAATAACCTCAGGAAGGGCCTCAGGGCATGCTTAAGAGGGGGCTCCCCGCAGGTTGGGAGCTTCTGGAGGGGCTGTTCTCCCCCCCTCACTGTTCCCCCTCCCCTCCAGATGTTCTCGGTGATCAGGGAAGTGGCGCAGAGTAGCCACTGTCTGCAAGAGCGCTACCAGCGGGAGGTGCAGCTTCGCAAGAAATACCACGACCAGCTGCTGGAGCTGAAAGGTGGGTGGGGGGGCAGGCATAAAGGAGGGGGCTCTTTTCCTGGATTGGTTTCTTGGGTGGTGGGCAGACCAAGAGAGGCTCCAGAGTTTTGGCGAGGGACAAAGGGCGGATCCCCTGGCTGACTGGGAGGAAAGGAGGCCGTTCGGCTTCCGAATTCAGGCGGGATATAAATAAAATGAAACAAAATAATAAACGGAATTAAAATAAATAAATAAATAAAAATAAAATACGTAATAAACAAATAAAGCAAAATGAAATGGCAAAATGAAAAATACAATAAAGCAAAATAAAACAAAGAAACAAAATAAAAAAATAAAATAAATAAAAATAAATGAAGTGAAAAATCAAATAAAATAAAACTAAGAAAATAAAATAAGAATAAGTAAATAACAATAAAATAAAAATAAGATTAAAATAAAGAAAATAAAACTAAGAAAAAGTAAACAAAATAATAAAATAAAAAGTGAATGAAATAATAAAAGAGAAAAAGAGAAAATAAATTAAATAATAAATTAATAATAACAACAACAACAACAATAACTGGAGAAGATAACAAAATACAAAGAACTACAAATAGAAATAGAAAGACTGTGGCAAAGGCAATCAAGGGTAGTCGTAAGCGCCTTGGGTGCAATCCCAAAACAACTGGAGCACCACTTGAACACCATTGGCATTGACAAATTCACCATTAGTCAATTGCAAAAGGCGGCCTTACTAGGAACTGCTTCCATCCTGCGACGATATCTGTAATACCATCAAACATCCACATCTGCCTATCCCAGGTCCTGGGTAAGGACTCGATAGGTAGACAATATGCCAAATCCAGTCTGAACATCTGGCTGATGATGATGATGATGTCCCAGGGGAATCTTTGCCCCTGCACAGACTGGGGGATGGGGGGTGGTTCTGACGGCCCCCAGTTCTTGCCTAGCTGATCCTTCCATTTCCCCCCCCCCATGCCTCCCCAGCACCAGTGAGCAGCCCTCCCTTGCCAAACACCCAGCTCTGAGGATCCATTTTAGTCCCAGGGCAGGGCAGGGCCTCCTCTGGCATACATTTCACGGGCATAATCTTGGCTCTGTCTATCCCTGCTTCCCAGGATCTTTGATTGCAGCAAGCCTCCTTGTGGACTAGCCACTTGACTGCTCCTCCCGGAGGGCAGGGGGTACCTGCCTTTCCTGGATGCCACCTCTATTCCCGAGAGAGGGGGAGGGGAGGGGGCTTTTAATTCCTCGCTCCCCCTCTTCCTTGCCCAAATTGTAGAAAAGCAGAGGTGGAAATGCCCTCTGCAGCCAAACAAAGAAGGACAGCCGTTTGTCCAAAATGGTATAGGGTTTCTTGCCTGAGCAGGGGGTTGGACTAGATGACCTTCAAGGTCCCTTCCAAATTTATTACTATTATTATTATTATTATTATCATCATCATCATCATCCCCATAATGGAGCTGGTGGTTCTCTGAATGCAGCTCTGCAGTTTCCCTTGGACCCTTCCCAGTCTAGCTGGAGGCCCTGAGATCTCCTGGTGGTCTCCCTTCCACTTCCAGAAGCAGAGATGAGAGGCGCATAAGGCCACAAGCAGTGGAAATGGCAGGGGAAGCTGCATCGATCACAGGCAGCTGAGGTGTAGGGAGAAAGCATCGGGGGGGGGTGTGTGTTCCTGTACGGAGACCCCCACCACCCACCCCAGGAGCCCAAAACAGGACCCTGCCCTTCCGCCTTGGCGGGTCAGCCTGAATGGACCCTGCCCTCCCTCAGGTAACATCCGGGTCCTGTGTCGCCTGAAGCCGCTGACGGAGGAGGAGCAGCAGGAGGGGAGCCAGGGGGGCCCCGGAGTGGAGGCCAGCCCGGCCGAGGATGGCTGTGTGACCGCCTGCTACAAGGGAAAGGAGCACCGCTTCAGACTGGACAAGGTTTTCCTGCCCTGCGCCACTCAGGAGGAGGTGAGACCGCCCTGTGGGCTGTCCGTCACTGGGGTCTCGACATAGCCCCCAACCCCCAAATTTCTGGGGAAACAGAACTGAAGGCACAGGATTGGGGGGGGGGGGACATCACTGTACAAACTCTGGGAATGATGCAACTGGGATGAGGTCCCATCATGCCCTGCCTTATACTGGAGAGCTCCCTTTCTGGGGAGGGGGCTGCCTGGGGGGATTCCAGGAACCCCCTCTTTCCCCCCTAAGGAAAAAGGGCACCACTCTCCCCAGCGGGGGGGGGGAAGTGAGGCTTTAGGGCAGGGGTCTTCCAACTTGGCCCTGTTATGACTGGTGGACTTCAACTCCCAGAATTCCTCAGCCAGGCACGCGTGCCTGGCTGAGGAATTCTGGTAGTTGAAGTCCACCAGTCATAAAAGGGCCAAGTTGGAAGACCCCTGGTCTGGATCCAAGCCCGCAGTTTCATCAAAATGGCCGACTGAGGAATTCTGGGAGTTGGTCCACAAGTCATAAAAGGGCCAGGTTTGAAGACCCCTGCTTTAGGGGGAGGCAGGTCAGTGGGTGACCCCCTTCCCAGTTTCTAGACACCCCCCCCCAGCCCCATCTCAGCCTGTGCCTTCCATGGGGGGGCAAACTAAGTCTTGCCTTGAACCATTATCCCTACTCCAGAGGGATCCACAGTTCACCTTCCCCCCATCTGCCCCCTCCCTGCTCCTTCGCAGCTCCCACTCTCTATAGTACCTGCAAGGAAGGGGGGGGGCAGCAAAGGCCATTGTTTGATGACCCCCCCCCCATCCCTCTCTTCCCTGTTAGGTCTTCCTGGAGATTGAGCCGGTGGTCCTGTCTTGCCTGCAAGGCTACAACGTTTGCATCTTTGCCTACGGGCAGACGGGCTCCGGCAAGACTTACACCATGGAGGTAAGGCCTTGCTCGGTGTGGCGCGGCTGAGTGGGGCTCCCACCTCGGAGGGGGTCTGGGCTGGGCGGGCAGAGAGGGTCTCCGGCGAAAGGGAATATTTGCAGCTCAGGGCTAAACTAAGGGGTGGGAGGGGATCCTTGGTACTCACTGAGCTTGGATGTTTTCTTGCAGACGTTTCATGACCCAGCTAGGGAACATCATCAGCGCTAGAAGGAAGAAGGGGTTGTTCTCTGATTATGCACAAGGCTTGCCCTGTCAAATGTGTATAAATAGAGAGCAATCCCCTCTCCCTTCTAGCACTGCTGATGTTCCCTAGTTGGGTCATGAGATGTCTGCAAGAAAACAGCCAAGCTCAGAGGGCACCAAGGACCCCTCAGTCGTCTTCCTCCTCCTCCTCCTCCTCCTCCTCCTCCTCCTCCTCCTCCTCCTCCTCCTCCTCTTCTTTCTCACACACCTCACTCCCTTCTAACACTGATGAGGTTCCCTCGTTGGGTCATGAAACGTCTGCAAGGAAACAAGCAAGCTCAGAGAGCACCAAGGACCCCACAGTCCTCCATCTCCTCCATTTCCATCTCCTCCTCCTCCTCCTCCTCGTCTCCGCAAACGCCCCTCCCTTCTAGCACTGATGATGTTCCGTAGTTGGGTCATGAGACGTCTGCAAGAAAACATCCAAGCTCAGAGAGCACCAAGGACCCCTCAGTCGTCTTCCTCCTCCTCCTCCTCCTCCTCCTCCTCCTCCTCCTCCTCCTCCTCCTCCTCCTCTCCATACACCTCACTCCCTTGTAGCACTGATGATGTTACCCAGTTGGGTCATGAGACGTCTGCAAGAAAACCGCCCAGCTCAGAGAGTGTCCAGGCCCTCGTGAGTCTCTGATGCCCCTCTTATGCAGAAGAGAACCTGCAGACCAGAGAAAGGAAGGGAGTTGCAGAAGAAAAATGCCCCCCTTCCCCCCCACCCGGGCCTGCTTCCCCCGGAGGAAAAGATTTCCAAGCTGTCCTTTGCTTCCAGGGGCACCCGGAGAATCCGGGGATCACCCAGCGGGCCCTGCAAGCTCTCTACCAGGAGATGGAGGCCAAGCAGGCGGAGGCGTGGAAGTTCTCAGCCCAGCTGACCCTGGTGGAGATCTACAATGAAGTGATCAGGTGAGCAAAGGGGGGATGTCCAGCCCCCCCTTCAAAAGTCAGCTCTTGTTGGAGATGTGGTAGTTTGAATGCCAATTATTTTCATATACGGTGGACTTGTAGAAATATAAAAGCCTTTTGGATTAAGATTTGGTGGAACATTCAACAGATTTTCAAGAGAAAGATAAAGTTTACCTCACAATTATTTTTATTGGGTGTTATTACAGATTGTGATGCTAAAGAAATTAATTTGATGTTGAATTTGATAACAGCTGCAAGGTTGTTACTAGTTACTAGTAGGACAATATTGGAAGAAGGATTGCTTGCCTACTATAGGAGAATGGACGCTTAAAGTGTCAAATTTAGCAGAAATGGCTAAGATTTCTGCTTACTTGAAGGATCAATCACAAGAAAGATACACTTCGGTTTGGAGAAGATGGATAAATTATATTCAGAATAAATATGGGACTAAAAAGTTTCATTTAGCCTATGAGTGAATTTTACAGTATTATTATGATATTATTATTATTTTTAGTATTAGTATTGTTTAACAATTTGCAGATTGTATTGTTTAATAATTAGGATATTAACTTGTTTATGTTTTCATTATTATTATGTTTATTTTCAATTTGTTTACATTTATGTTAAAGGGGAGTTAAAGTGCATTATGGACTTGGTTATTTATATACTTGGTTAATATTAGTTAGATTATGATTATCATATTTGTAACCCTGTACTCAGCTCTGGGAAGTTGGGGAGGGAGAGGGGGGGTTGGGGTGCGTTATATTGTAATTTTTATAAAACTTTTTAATTAAAAAAAAGGCAGCTCTTTGCAAGCTGGAGATCAAATGCAACCGAGAACATCTATCTGGGCCTGATTCCGTCTTTTCCGGCAATGCCTGGGACCCAAGAAGGAAGAAAGGAGCCTGGTGGACCCCTTAACTTTTGTGGTTTTTTTAAATCTTCCACATCCTCCACAGAGGTTTCATCCTTGAAAGATGCTATTGATTTATTTTCACCCCTTTATTATTTTATAAGTCACTCAAGGCAGCGAACATATCCAATATTCCTTCCTCCTGCTGTTTTCCTCACAACAACCCTGTGAAGTGGGTTGGGAGAGGTGGATTGGCCCAAAGTCCCCCAGCCAGCTTTCATGACGAAGGCGGGACTAGAACTCCCACTCTCCTGCTGATTGGCCCAAAGTCACCCGGCTAATTTTTTTTATTATTATTAAGGCTAGGGCAGAACCCAAATCCCAAACCCCAATCCGTTCCATTGATTATTGTTCTCACTGTTGATGGCTATGGAGAATAACTGAGTTGGAAGGGACCTTGGAGGTCTTCTAGTCCACCCCCCTGCTCAAGCAGGAGACCCGACACCATTTCAGACAAATGGTTGTCCAATATCTTCTTTAAAACCTGCAGTGATGAAGCATCCACAACTTCTGGAGGCAAGGAGTTCCACTGGTTAATTGTCCTCACTGTTAGGAAATTCCTCCTTAGTTCCAGTTTGTTTCTCTCCTTGATGAATTTCCATCCGTTGCTTCTTGTCCTGCCTTCAGGCGCTTTGGAGAATAGCTTGACTCCCTCTTCTTTGGGGCAGCCCCTGAGATATTGGAGGACAGTTCTCTACTCTCAATTGTCTGCTCTCTCTCTCTCTCTCCTATCCAGAGACCTACTGACCAAGGAACCTCAGGAGAAGTTAGACATCAAGTTGCAGCCGGATGGGAGTGGTCAGCTACACGTCCCTGGCCTCACCAGCGTGGAAGTCCAGAACCTCTCCGAGATTCAGAAAGTAGGTGGACTGGATCTCTGTTTGGGGGCCAGCTCGGCAGGGTGGGCACTGCCAGTCCGATGGTGAGCACAAGCTGGCCGGGGGGGGGGGTCTGCCAGAGAAGAGGAGGTTCTGGGTTGGGGAGGGTCCTTGCTGCTTCGCTTGGCAAGGCCAAAGCTCACCTGCGCCAGATAATGGGTGTGAGCCAGTTTGGTCTAGTGCAGGGATCCCCAACCCTGGCCACTTTAAGACCGGTGGACTTCAACTCCCAGAATTCCCCAGCCAGCGCATGCTGGCTGGGGAATTCTGGGAGTTGAAGTCCACCGGTCTTAAAGTGGCCAGGGTTGGGGACCCCTGCTCTAGTGGTTGAGGCAGCAGGTTAGAAACGGTGAGTTCTAGTCCTGCCTTAGGCACAAAGGCAGCTGGGTCACTTAAGCCAGCTTCTCTCTCTCAGCCCTGGCGAGGAGACAATGGTATGTAAGCCGCTGCCGAAATCTCGCCAAGAAAACTGCAAACCCTGACTCGCAGGCACACACACACAAAAAGAGAAGATGGCTAAATCCTTTTATTGATGATGGATTTATTTCCTGGAAGTTTCAAACGGAGCCTCCGGGCCCTGGATAGTGGCTCTCTCCCCCCCCCCTCCACTTTAAGAGGGTCTGTCTTGACCAATTCTCCTTCCCTTTTGCTCTACCCAGATTCTCCAGCTGGGAAAACGGAACCGCACCACCTTCTCCACCCACATGAACGCGCACAGCTCCCGCTCGCACGCTCTGCTCACGCTCACGCTCACCGGCACGGAGCTGAGCAGCGGCACCAAGGTGACAGGTAGCTGCCCCGGATGCTCTTGACCCTTCCTCAGAGAGCGTCCTCACACACTGTATCGTGGTCTGGTATGCTGGCTTGTCGGCCACGGACGGGATGGTATTCCAGAGGGTGGTGAGCACGGCACAAAACATCGTGGGCTGTTCCCTGACACCACTGGATGGCATCGCCAGGGCCCGTTGCCTTGGCAGAGTGAGGAAAATTCTCAGGGATGACTCACACCCTGGTTACTCTCCTATCATCAGGTAGGACAGTGGTGGCGAAGCTATGGCACGCGTGCAGAGGTGGCACTCAGAGCCTTCTCTGTGGGCACGCGCACCATGCCCCAGAGATGGCAACCGTCCTCTTCAACCAGCCGCCCGCTAACTTGCCAAGTCCCACGTGGCCAGATGCATCCCAGCACCCATGTGCTCGCTGGCCTTTGTGTGCGGGGGCCGATGGTGTCAGGCAGCAGCTGCCCCGGCCCCTGCCTCGCCTTGCCCTGTGACAATGGCATCCCTGCACTGCCTCGCCTCACCCCGCAGAACCAGCCTCCTGCCCACCGCCCCACCCGCCAGAGACCCCTGGATCTCCCCCAACCCTGCCCGGCCCCCACAGGCGTCCCTCCCCACGAGCAACATCGAGCTGGCCGTGCCCACCCTGGCCACGCCCACCCATCTGCCATGACCGCTGTAGGCACGCCCACCCGGCGGGCCACACCCACCCAGTGGCCACACCGACCTGGCACCCAGCAATACATACGTGAAGTTTGGGCACAGTCTCTAAAACAGTGGTTCTCAACCTGTGGGTCAGGACCCCATTTGGGGTCGAACGACCATTTCACGGCGGTCGCCAAACAACGCAGTCCGCCATTTTTTTCCCCCTTAGCTGTGCTACTCCGTTTTATTCTATTGGCTTTTGAAAGCCAATAGAATAGACTCTCTTGAATAGAGCCTAATTCTATTGGCTTTCCAAAGCCAATAGGAATTGTCCAGGCTGTCTCTGCCCTGCTGAGCCCGCCAAAAGTCCCATTCTGCAAACGGTGCTGCACCAGTTGAGTCGTCCTCGACTTACGACCGGTTGAGTAGTCCTCGACTTACGACCGGTTGGGGGTCGCGGCATTAAAAAGGTTGAGAACCACTGCTCTAAAAGGTTCGCCATCACTGGGATAGAAGATACAGAAACATCGCCAGCCGTACCAACAGGCTGAAGAACAGCCCCGTGGGCTGTCAGGTTCTTGAACGGGACATAACTTTATGCATGATAGACTCGTGAGGCTGGCGCGCTGTGCAATTAGCTCACAGGGTGTAATAAGTTGGTAGGGTTATAGTCACTGTGAGTTGTGGGGGGGGGGTCACGGAGGGAGGCTCAGCCAATCTCACTGTATACATGTTATACTTGGATAATGTTATACTTCATTCATTCGTGGTGGAGGTCTTGAGAGTGCAACGTGGCAGGTCCGCAGGGCAGGGCAAGGTTGACCTGGGCATCTCAAGAAGTTCCAGAGCAGCGGTTCTCAACCTATGGGTCGCGACCCCCATTTGGGGTCGATTGACCATTTCACGGGGGTCGCCAAGCAAGGCTGTCCGCCATTTTTTTCCCCCTTTTCCGGTAGGTGCCTTACCTGCCTTGGGCTGGGCCAGCTGATGGCCCACCCGGTGGTCGGCCTGCGCCGTCTCTGCCGCTTGCCAGCTAGGCCTTGGCCAGCACAGGGGGTGGCACCATGCATGCGCGGCGCTCCCGGGCAGGGAAAGTCCTCGACTTACGACCGGTTGGGTAGTCCTCGACTTATGACCGGTTGGGTACTCCTCGATTTACGATCAGTTTAGTCCTTGACTTACGACCGGTTTAGTCCTCGACTTACGACCGGTTGGGTGGTCCTCGACTTACGACCGGTTTAGTCCTCAATTTACAACCGGTTTTGTCCTCAACTTACGACCGGTTGGGTAGTCCTCGACTTACGACCGGTTGGGTAGTCCTGACTTATGACCAGTTTAGTCCTCGACTTAACGACCGGTTTAGTCCTCGACTACAACCGGTTGGGTAGTCCTCGACTTATGACCGGTTTAATCCTCAATTTACGACCGGTTTAGTCCTCGACTTACGACCGGTTGGGTAGTCTTCGACTTACGACCGGTTGGGTAGTCCTCGACTTATGACCAGTTTAGTCCTCGACTTAACGACCGGTTTAGTCCTCGACATACGACCGGTTGGGGGTCGCGGCATTAAAAAGGTTGAGAACCACTGTTCCAGAGGGACCCTCAGCTGGAGGTTGGGAGAGGCCTTGGGTCAAGAGGAGGGGCTTTGGAGAAGGGATTTCCTTAGGCTGGAAGCCCCCCTGCTTCTCCCTCTCCAGCCCGCCAGGTCAGGGAAGGAGCCGGGCTGCTGGGCTCCTGCTGTTTCTCCTGGCACCCTCTCCATCTGGGCTTGCTTGCACCCTGCCCCTCTCTGGCCTCCCTCGGTGACGGTGTTCCTCCAGGTTTCCTCACACCTTCCGGCCGACTGTCTCCTTCCATCACCATTGGGGGGGGGGAGAAGGCCGAATGACCCCTGCCACAAAACGCTCGGTGCCCTTTGTGCCCCCTTGCCCTGGGGAGGTGCAGAGCCTCCTTCAGTCCCGGAGAACTTTGCCAACCACGTTATTCTTCCAGGGAAGCTTAACCTGGTGGACCTGGCCGGCTCAGAACGGGTGTGGAAGTCCGGGGCGCAGGGGGAGCGGCTGAAGGAAGCCCAGAGCATCAACCGGTCCCTGCTGGCCCTCGGCGAGGTCATCCAGGCCCTGCGGACCAAACAGGCCCACGTGCCCTTCCGCAACTCCAAGCTCACCTACCTGTTGCAGGACTCTCTGGGCAAAGGCAGCAAGACGGTCATGATGGTGCAGGTGAGGGGGGGGTGGCGTGGCTGGGCCCCCAGAGGTAGCAGGGCTGGGCCCCAGGCCCTTGGATGGAAGTCCACCAACGGCTGCAGGGGTCCCTTTTCTTGCTCTGGGACCAACAGTCTGTCTTTGGGCTGCAAGATCCCTCAGGCTCCTTGGCCTTCCATGGGGAGACCCTCTCTCACCCCCCCCTTGCAAAAGGGGCTAGGCTGGCAGGCACCAAAGGCCAAAAGACACCCCAGGGCCACCTGGTTTTTGTGTTTCCACCTGCTTCTTAAACGGCCTTTCACTCCATGGAGACGCCATTCCCACGTCCTGCGGGCACCCGGGGTGGAAAAAGTGCCCTCTTCTAGGGAGACGCTCCATCATGGTTGTCCCAAAGGGGCTTTTCCCAAAAGGCAAGCAAACTTTCTTGTGGGGTTTTCTTTCTTTCTTTCTTTCTTTCTTTCTTTGAAAACGTTTTGCTTCTCATCCGAGAGGCTTTGGTTCTTCAGAAGTTCTTCTGTTATTTAGAACTGAGGAAGCTTCTCAGATGAGAAGCGAAACGTTTTCAAAGAAAGAAAGACCCACAAGAAAGTTCAGAGAGAGAGAGAAAGAGGGAGGGAGGGAGAGAGAGAGAGAGAGAGAGAGAGAAAGAGAGATGAAGGGAGGGAGGGAGAAAGAGATGAAGAGAGAAAGGGGGAGGGAGGGAGAGGGAGAGAGAGAGAAAGAAAGGGAGAGGGACAGAGGAAAAAGGGAGAGGGAGGGAGAGAGAAAAAGAGAAAGAGGGAGGGAGGGAGGGAGAGGGAGAGAAAAAGGGAGAGAAAAAGAGGGAGAGAGAGAGAAAGAGGGAGAGAGAGAGAGGAAGAGAGCGGGAGGGAAGGAGAGAGGAAGAGAGAAAAAGAGAGAGAAAGGGGGAGAGAGAGGAAGAGAGAGAGGGAAGGAGAGAGAGAAAGAGGAAGAGAGAAAGGGGAGGGAGGGAGAGGGAGAGAAAAAGAAAGAGAGAGGGAGAGAAAAAGAGGAAGAGAGAGAGAAAAAGAGGGAGAGAGAAAGAGAGGGAGGGAGAGAGAAAAAAGAGGAAGAGAGAGGGGAAGAGAGAGAGGAAGAGAGAGAGAAAGAGAGAAGAAGAGGGAGGGAGAGAGAGGAAGAGAGAGACAGAAAGAGAGACAGACAGACAGAGAGAGACTTAGGGGTGGGACCAGGGCTCTCAAACTCCAGAGCCAGCTGCCAGGGCAAAGGCAGAGGCACTGGAGGCTCTGAAGGGCCCTTGGAAAGAGTGCTGGTCCTGCCTTCTTGAAGCCTCCGGGTCCAGGAGACTTCTAGGAGCATCTCCCTTTTTTCTACCCTCCCTTGAGAGCTGGGGGGGGGGGCACATTGGGATTGGGCAGTGCCCCCCAGCCCCTGGCACGTCAGCTCCAAGACTCCCAGCCGGGCAGGGCTCAGAAGGACTCTCCTAGTGGGAAATAGACTTGGGGAGGGGCTCCAGGGCCCTCAGCTCCCCCTTTTCTCCTGTCTGCTTCCTTTGGCTCCTCAGATTTGCCCCCTGGAGAAGAACGTGGGCGAATCCATCTGCTCCCTCAAGTTTGCCCAGCGGGTCTGCAAAGTGGAACTGGGGCCGGCCTCCCGTCGCATCAAGGCCCCGGACCAGCGTGAGGTCTGAAACCCCGGGACCTCTGGCAGGCCTCCCTTAGGGAAGGAGCTCAAGGACTGGGCAGGTGCCTTGACCAACGGATCCTGCCAAGCAGGCTGGGGAATGGTATATTAGTCCGAAATGGTCTAGGGTTTCCTGCCTGAGCAGGGGGTAGGACTAGATGGCCTCCAAGGTCCCATCCAACTTTATTATTGTTGTCGTTATCAAAAGCATCTTTGAGACTCCTGGTGGGGCCCCTCTTCACATCTGCCCCTTTTCTGCCCTGGTTCTTGTATTCATGGGGCCCACCCCCTCCCCTCCCCGGAGAAAGCTTCCCCCCCCTGCATGTGGCCAGTTTGCCCCCCTCTTTCCCAAGAGCCTCCCTCCTCATTTGCGAAGCATCCCCTCCCCCAGCAGACTTCCCACGTTGCAAAAGGAGTCGGGGGGGGGATACATTTTCCTAGCCCGATTCATGGGACAAAGAAGTGGCATTGCCCCCCCTGCGGACAGGGCTCGGAGCTGGTCCCCACGGCCTTCCCCAAAGGAGTTGCCCACCTCCTCGCATCTCCCTTGTCCGTAAGTGTTAAAGGGCAGATATCGGGGTGCGACCCCCCACCCCACCCCCATGGCATGAAGGAGGATGGCTGGCACAAGCCTACATCCTCTTAAGACCCAGGAGTGCGTAACACTTTGCAACTCCACTTGGCTTTTTCGCTGTGCAGGACAGCCTTCCCCCCCCCCACAATTTGGGGAGACCACCCACCCACCATTATTTTTTTTAGCAGAGGAAACTGGCACTGCTGCCAGAACTTTCCACCCAGATGGCAGGAACTGCCTGCTCAACACATCCGTTCCCCCAGATTTGCCTGTGAGATATATTGCGTTGTTTTACGCATAGAAATCAGAGCTGGAAGGGACCTTGGAGGTCTTCTAGTCCAACCCCACCGCACACCTGGGGCAGGAGACTTTATGCTTTTCCCTTTCCTTTCCTGGCCCAGTTCCTGCCACATGAGTGAAGCCTCAGAACGATAAAGGACAATAAATGACAATAAATGGGCATTGCCAGCTCGCCCTGTGGTCAATCTCTCTGTGTATGTCCTTTTTCCTTGGCCCATTTGTAGCCTCGACCAGGTTCACACACTACACACACACACACACACCAGAGGGTTTGTTCCAACCATGATTTGCAATTCAGCTGTAACTGGCTGGTTTAACCTGACTGTCCCAAAGCATCCTTATCAGGTTATCACCCAAGGGGAATATTTATAGCTGCAGGGTTAAAATGGGGGGGGGGGTCCTTGGTGCTCTCTGAGCTTGGATGCTTTAATTTTTCTTTTTGTATTAGTTGATAATATAAAATATAAAATTACAAAAGAAAAGAGTGGGAAAATTAGGGAGGGAAGGGGAAAGGGAAAAACGGGAAAAAAAGGTGTTTTTGACTTCGGACTCCCTTTGTTTGGTACAGTAAAATAAGAACATCAAACCTCAACTTTTTACCTCAGGGGTTCTCATACTTGGCCCATTGATGACTTATGGACTTCAACTCCCAGAATTCCTGTCAGGATGTTTTAAGACAGGTCTTCAAACGTGGCTCTTTGATGACTTGTGGACTTGAACTCGTCAACTCCTCCATCAAACCTCAACCTTTTTACCTCAGGTCTTCAAACATGGCCCTTTGATTCCTCAGCCAACTACGCGTGCCTGGCTGAGGAATTCTGGGAGTTGAAGTCCACAAGTCATCAAAGGGTCACATTTGAAGACCTGTCTTAAAACATCCTGACAGGAATTCTGGGAGTTGAAGTTCACAAGTCATCAAAGGGCCACGTTTGAAGACCCCTGGGGTAAAAAGGTTGAGGTTTGATGTTCTTATTTTACTGTACTAAACAAAGGGAGTTAGAAATCAATGCCTTTTTTTCCCTCAGACAGCACCAAGGACCCCCTTATCTCTATCCTGGCTCAATCGGGTGATTCCGCTTGATTCCTCAGGGAGATTTATTGATTGGCACTATGACTGAACTGCACTCTCAATGAGAAGGGCAAAAAAAAAAAAAACCAGAGAAGGAAGCAACCGTATTTGAAATATAAAATTTATTAATTTAACAATACATTCAACGTGCCCTTGAAAACTGGGCAGAAATCATCCCCATCAGAGCCCACCCTCCTGACATGCTCAGGAGGACAGGCTGCTGGGTACAACTGGAACTGCAGACCACCCTCCATCAACGCTCCCCCCCCCCAGAAGTAACACCAGTGTCAAAGCTCCCAGTTTGACTTGAGCCCAGTAACAAAGTGCCTTTGGCGCAAAGCCTGGGCCCTGGCAAGGGGGGCAGACGCGGCACCCCAGGCACGCGAGGGGCTCCCACAGTTGGTTTCCAAGCACAGGCTGAAAGGGGGATTCCCCAAGGACAGAGCCCACCAGAAAAGGCATCTTGTGAAGTTGCGACACACGCAGAATAAATAGGGGAATTTGTACACTTCCATTCGGGGGAATCTCGGCCAGCTCCTTCCTCTGAATCGGGGTGCCCTTGCAGGCTTCCCTCAGAAAGGGGGGCAATGGTGGGGGGGCAGGGCCTGGAAGGGGACCGCCCAAGGCAGAGGAGACAGCCAGGGGGCATCCGGTGCCCAGCCAGCTTGCTGTACTTCCCCCGGGGCGACAGCGAGGCCCGGATACGGGTGAGGAGGGCAGGGGGCTGTCACCCAGTTCCAGTAAGGAGAACCCCCGTACGGGGCCGGGCCTAAAGTGCAACAGGGCAAGCTGAGCGAAGCCGGGATGGTGAGAAAGGTGGGCAGGGGGAAGGGTCCCCGAACTGGGGGCAAAGTGCCATGGTTGTGCCAAGGGGGCACCTGGAAGCAGTCTCTGCAGCAAGTGGGGGGCAGCTGTGCTTGAGGGCTGGCCGGCGGGCAAGGCTCCCCCTGGCTGCCCTCGCCCAGAGGGTGGAGGCGGCTGACGGAGGCCACGTCGGAGTTCGGGGACCCTGATCCAGAGCTCCCCTCCTCGCTGGGGGGCTTCAGCAGAGAGTGGATGGTGAAGGTCTTCTTGCCCAGAGGCTCGGGGGTCTCCTCTTCCTTCACGGGGAGGTCTTCGGCTGGGAGGGGCGACTGGGGGGCCGGGGCACCGCCGGGAGGCACGTAGGGAAGGCCCTTCAGCACAAAAGGGCTGAGGTCGGGGGCAAAAGCCACTTCCCCTTGGCGAGTGATGGCCGTGTTCTGCAGCTTCAGGGCTTCCGGGGGAATGCGGTCCACGTCCACCGTCCAGTAGTTCCCCTTGCCTTTCGGCTTGGACGGATCCTTCAGCACCTGAGGGAGGGAGGGAGGGGAAGGGTCTCTGTAAGGAGGCAACATCCCCCCCCCGGGTTCAAGGGCAAAAGGTTCCCGGTCCTTTCTTGATCTTAGATGAAGAAGGATGATGGGATTTGAAATCCAGAGTTATCTACTAGTGCAGTGGTTCTCAACCTTTTTAATGCCGCGACCCCCCCCAACCGGTCGTAAGTCGAGGACTACTCAACTGGTCGTAAGTCGAGGACTATTCAAGAGAGTCTATTCTATTGGCTTTCAAAAGCCAATAGAATAAAAGGGAGTAGCACAGCTAAGGAAAAGGGGAAAAAAAGATGGCAGACTGTGTTGTTTGGCAACCCCCGTGAAATGGTTGTTCGACCCCAAATGGGGTCCCGACCCACAGGTTGAGAACCACTGTACTAGTGCAAGGGGTTCTTCAAACTTGGCCCTTTGATGACGTGTGGACTTCATGCCCCATAGGCGTGCCTGGCTGAGGAATTCTGGGAGTTGAAGTCCACAAGTCATCAAAGGGCCAAGTTGGAAGACCCCCCTGATCTGGAGTAGTGCTTCTGGATCTCAGGAATGTTAGCATGGGTGGACTTCAACTCCCCGGATTCACCAGCCAGCAAAGCTGAGGAGTTGGAAGTCCACCCAGTGGGAATTCTGGGAGTTGAGGTCTACCTGGGGGGAAGGGGAATTCTGGGAGCTGAGGTCCAGGGGGGAGGGAAATTCTGGGAGCTGAGGTCCACCTGGGAGGGGGAATTCTGGGAGGTAAGGTCCCAGGGAGTAATTCTGGGAGTGGAGGTCCACCCAGGAGGAATTCTGGGAATTGAAGTCCACCTATCTTAACCTTCCTGAGATCCAGAAACACGGACTCGGTGCTGGATTGAAGACTTCCCAGAAAAAAACATCTCTAGTGATTTGGACGGCCACTGGGCCCAGCCACTAAAGACCTCCCCCCCAGACAGAGGGCCCACCTGGCTGAAGAGGAGAGGAGGCCTCCATCCCACCCAGCCCCCCTCCCTCCCTGCTGCCTCCTTACCATTCGGAAGCAATCATTGGCCGACAGGTTGTGCCTGATGGAGTCTTTCCAGCCCAGGTAGCTCTCCTTGAAGAAGGGAAAGAAAGCTCCAATTTGACGCGTAATCTGAAAGAGAGGAAGGGGGGGGGAGAGAGAAGAGGGCCCCCGCCTTAGAGCTGCTGGCCAGGCGGGGGCTCCCCGTCCGCCCCCTCGGGGGCTCCCCAATCTCAACCGATACCAGCGCCCGATCCTCGCCCGCGCCCGCCGAAACGGGGCCGAGTCTCCTGCTTGAGGAAGGGGTTGGACTAGAGGACCTCCGAGGTCCCGCCCAAGCCTAGGATTCCGTCTCCTCCGCGCTAAGGCGCTGGCTCCCTGCCCCTCCCTTACTACCTAGGTTTCGAGGGCCAGGTGAGCGGCGTATGAAATTTCAGAAATAAAGGCAGAAAGAAACGCACAAGCGCCCGGCGCCGTCGGGGGGGGGAGACCCAGCGCCCCAGGGAAGCTCCCGGAGCCAGGGACTCCCCGGGGGGGGGGAGGCAGCGCTGCGTTGGGGGAAGCCCCCCCTGCCCGGCGCCCCCTCTTCCAAGCCTGGGACCCCTCTCCAAAGCGCTGGGAGGGGGGGCTGAGCTGGAAGCGAGGAGCGGCGCCGGCGAACCCCGACGGCCGAGGCCGGCTGGGCGAGCCGCGGGGTCCCGGACGGTGACCGGGGAACCTGGCGCGGATCCCGTCCGACCTGCCGAGCGGCCGCTAAGCGAGGAGGGCCGGGGCCGCCCCCGCGAGGCTGCCTGCAAGGGGGGGGTCTCTCGGGGTCCCCGCGGACGGCGCGGCCGCTGACCTGGGCGAGCTTCAGCTTCTTCCCCGGGGAGGCGGTGATGACCAGGGCGATCATGGCCAGGTAGCTGTAAGGGGGCTTAGCGTGGCGGCTGTAGCGCTTCTTGGACCGGGCCGGGGGCTGCTCCGGGGCCCGGCCGGCCGCCTTGCGCTTGCCCCGGACCCCGGCCGGAGGGCTGCCCCCGTCGGTCTCCTGCATGCCCCTGTCCGGCTGAAGAGCGCCCGCTCCCCCCCGGGGCGGGGGCTTAAATGGGCCGGGCGCGGGGGCTGCTCGCTCATGCTGATGGGGCAGACCCGACGGCTCCAGGCGCCGAGGGGGCGGGGTGGTGCTCCCCCCCTCCCCGCCGAGCCAATGAGAAGCCCGAAAGCCCCGCGACCAGCGCCCCGGGCTGTGGATTAGTGGGCGGCAGGTCACCGCCAGGAAGCGGCCCTCCTGCCCCCTCCCCAATCTGGCCCACGTTTGGCCCTGGGGGGGGTGTCTCTAGGGGCAGGGGGTCCTCCTGGCCTTGGAGTTATCACCTGGCTGGTGAAAAGGCTACTCGCCCCCCCCCCCAGTGCAGGAACTGGCTGCAAGGAGGAGGGGTCCCCCAAAGTCAGAACTGGGCTAACTCTGGTTTGGCTTGCTTGCATTCAGCCCAGCTGTAGTCTTCTCACCTTCAGAGAAAGGGGGGGTGCATTAGAATGCTCTGGCCTTTGGGAGGTCCCGGGTGCTCTCTGAGGGGGGGGGGTTTCCTTGCAGACGTTTTATAACCCAAACTAGGTAACACCATCAGTGCTCTGGGAAATGAAACGTCTGCAAGAAAAGCACCCGCTTCAGGGAGCACCCAGGACCCCACAGTGTTCCTCCTCCTCCCAAGCATGGCCTATCAATATTCTCCTTTTTTAGTATCTTGGCCTTTGCATGTGGTGGCCAACCAGTCATTTTGTGGCTGAATTGGCTTTAGGGCAGTGGTTCTCAATCTTTTTAATGCCGTGACCCCCCAACTGGTCATAAGTCGAGGACTAAACGGGTGCAGCACCGTTTGCAGAATGGGACTTTTGGCGGGTTCAGCAGGGCAGAGACAGCCTGGACAATTCCTATTGGCTTTTGAAAGCCAATAGAATTAGACTCTATTCAAGAGACTCTCTTCTATTGGCTTTCGAAAGCCAAGAGAATAAAAGGGAGTAGCACAGCTAAGGAAAAGGGGGGAAAAAATGGCATACTGTGTTGTTTGGCGACCCCCGTGAAATGGTCATTCGACCCCAAATGGGGTCCCGACCCACAGGTTGAGAACCACTGCTTTAGGGTATTGTGTGAACCCAGCCACAGAGTCAGGAAGGTGATTTGAAGTGTTAAGGACACCTGGCTTTTAGACTGCTTGAGAGTGATGAGGAAACAAACCATGGTTTGGCACAATGCCCACACAAGCAGTGAAGCCTGGAGGGAATGCTAAACAGCCAAAATAGGGTCTTTTGCACTTTTCTACCTGGCCAACACGTAGGCGGCAGTCCACCCAGAGAGATCCTAAAGGCGCTTTTTCCAAAGGCCATCTGGCCTTTCTTGGTTTTTCCTTTGAAAATGTTTTGCGGCTTATCCAAGAAGCTTCTTCGGTTCTGGAGATGTTCTGAAGCTTCTTGGATCAGAAACAGAAGTTTTCCAAGGAAAAGAACCCAGAAAGTCCAGTTGCCTTTTGATAAAAAAGCAACTTTGGGGGGAACCGTGACCTGGATGGTGGAGAACCTCCAAAGACATTCACCCAGAGAGAGGTGCAGAGCCCATAATGCTGAGCTAGATGGGGCCAGGTATTGCCCTTCTGTCTGTGAGTGTTTTAGACCCTTTTAGGTTGTTTTCCTCTCTTTCAAAGGCCTTGTTTTACAAATTCTCTTACCAATTCCTTGTGTGTCCAATCATACGTGGCCGATAAAGAATTCTATTCTATTGCAACTTCACAAGAGCCCTGAGGCCCCACATTTTGCTTCTCACACCTGGCTAAGATCTGGGGGTTCATGAGAGGTTTCCTTTCTTCTGCTTCCACCCTTGAGATAACATTGAGACCTCAAGGCTGGCCCTCCCCCCCCCCTCAGACAGGTCTTCCAGGACTTTTATCAGCTCCCATCTAGAAGCCCAGCTGGGGGTGGGTGGGTCAGAATGAATGCTGGCTGAAGAATGGCTTCTGTTCAACCACCATCCCTGCTTCCATATCTCTTCATCCCCCAGACGGGAAAAACATGGCAAACTGTTGGCCTTTTCCTTAAAGCAACAGGTAGTTTTGGATTCAGGAACTGGGTGTGTCTAGTTTAATGAAAAGAAGGAGTAGGGTGCCATGATAGCATCTTCCAACATTTGAGGGGCTGCTACAAAGAAGAAGGGGTGAACTTATTTTCCAAAGCACCAGAAGGCAAGACAAAAAAACAGATGGAATCAAGGAGAGAAACTGTTTTGGTCACCACCATGTAAAAAAGATGTTGAGACTCTGGAAAGAGTGCAGAGAAGAGCAACAAAGATGATTAAGGGACTGGAGGCTAAAATATATAAAGAACGGTTGCAGGAATTGGGAATGTCTAGTTTAATGAAGAGAAGGACCAGGGGCGACACAATAGCAGTGTTCCAGTATCTCAGGGGCTGCCCCAAAGAAGAGGGAGTCAAGTTGTTATCCAAAGCGCCTGAAGGCAGGACAAGAAGCAACCGATGGAAACTCATCAAGGAGAGAAGCAACCTAGAACTAAGCAGAAATTTCCTGGCACTGAGGACAATTAACCAGTGGAACAACTTGCCTCTGTAAATATGAATCAGCTGTGTGCTGCAGCTGCCAAAGCAATCCTAGGCTGCATTAACAGAGGGATAGAATCAAGATCATGTGAAGTGTTAATACCTCTTTACAATGCCTTGTCAGGCCACACTTGGAACATTGCATCCAGCTTTGGTCTCCATGATATAAAAAAAGGATGTTGAGACTCTGGAACAGGGCTGTCAAACTGCCGACCCAAGGGCTGGTTTCATCCTACGGAAGCTGCATCCACCCACCCAATGCAAAAAGAGTCGGGACATGTTGCAACACATCACGTGACATGGTGAGTTTGACACCTGTGCTCTAGAAAGAGCGCAGAGAAGAGCAACAAAGACGATTAAGGGAATTGGGTATGTCTAGTTTAATGAGAAAAAGGACTAGAGGTGACGTGTTAGCAGTCTTCCAATATTTGAGGGGCTGCATAAAGAGGAGGTGGGGTCAACGTCTTCACCTGAAGGGCAGTGCAAGAAGCAACGGATGGAAACTGATCAAGGAGAGAAGCAACCTAGCATTAAGTGAGAACAATTTAATCAGTGGAACAGCTTGCCTCCAGATGTTGCTGCAGTGCTCTTAACGCTGCAGATTTTTAAGAAGAGCCTGGACAACCATTTGTCTGCAATGGTCTCCTGCTTGAGCAGGGGGTTGGACTAGAAGACCTCCAAGGTCCCTTCGGACTGTTATTCTTGGCCTGCTCTGCAAACTGTCTTTTAACAAGCCGCAGCTAAAGAAAGAGCAGCTAAGTGCAACGTGCAAATGAAACCATGGCTTGGCCTTGGCTGACAAAGCTCCAGGGGGTGTCCTCTCCTGGAGTGATAAGAGAATAACAGAACTGGAAGGGACCTTGGAGGTCTTCTAGTCCAGCCCCCTGCTCAAGCAGGAAAGCTTCCACCATTCCAGACAAGTAGTTGTCCAGTCTCCAGTTGATTATCAGAACATTGCCAAAATTTGGATGCTGCTGGATTTTGAATGTAGCCTTGGACCTGGGGTTGATCTGAAAGGCCCCCCCCTCCAGGAACGTGATAAATGGGACTCCCAGGAAGGCAGCCTTACTTACAAGAGCCCCCCTGTAGAGCAAGCCAGCCTCCCTTCTCCCTGTGTATGTTGGGGGAGGGGTGGGGATGTCCCTTCCAGGAAGAGAAAGAAGCACAGAAGAGGACCCTTTCTCTTGGGGTTGACTATTGGACCTCACTTGCCCCTCCCTGGAGCAACATTGTTTGCAGATTGCCCTGCTCAGCTACTGCCTCCCTTTCTTATGCTAATGAATCAGAGAGGAAGACAAAAAGGCCACTAATGGGGGCAATCAAGGGCCGTTCATGGCTGGCTCTACCGAGGAGGTCAAAAAGAGGTTATTTTGCTTTGGACAGGACGGGCCCTGAGGCTACCAAGGGGAAGAACATAGATTCACACATAGCATCCACAATTGGTGGAGTTTCCCCAAACACAGGGCTATAGCGCAGGGGTCTTCCAACTTGGCCCTTTTGTGACTTGTGGACTTCAACTCCCAGAATTCCTTAGCCAGCATGCCCACTTGAGCAGAGGGTTGGGCTAGAAGACCTCCAGGGTCCCATCCAGCTCTCTTCTGATTGATTGAAGCTTCTTGGATGAGAAGCAAAACATTTCCAAGGAAAAATAAAAACCAAGAAACTCCAGTTGCCTTTTGGACAATGCACCTTTGGGACTCTTCAGAGAGATCCCACGGTTCTCAACTTGCCACCATTAATTGAGCAGCTACTCGAGGTTTACACCACGCTGAAAAGGGGACTTAACAATAAGTCCTCGCATTTAGCATTGTTTGCATTTAGCAATCCTCACACCTGATCAAAAATTCAAGCTCTGGGCTACAGGTATGATAGGATGATTGGCACCCCCCAAGGTCAGGTGAGTAGCCTTTGCAATCTTCACAGCTGGTTTGCATTCAACAAAGTGAAGAGGGGAAGTTGCGTTTGTTCATCAGAGATCGCATAATATACTTAAGGAGTCGCATAATATGCTTAAGGAGTCGAGTGATCCATTTAACCACCCAGACACAACAAGGTCACAGAACCAGGTGTGACTCACTGGCAATTGCCTTGCTTAGCAATGGAAATTGTGGTCTCCCTTGCACTCCTAAGGTAAGGACTGGTGAATTCCTGCATAGGGTAGGGATGGGTTAGAAGGCCTCTCAAGGCCCCCTGCAGCCCTTCCTGTCTATCTTATTTTATTCCCAGTGCTGACAATTTTCTAATACACATAGTTCTTGAATAATAATAATAATAATTTAATTAATAATAATAAATCAGTAGGAAAGGTAATCCCGTAGGACTATAATAATAATAATAAAATTGGAAAGGACCTTGGAGGTCATCTAGTCCAACCCCCTGCTCAGGCAGGAAACCCTAGACCAGGGGTAGGCAACCTTGGCTCTCTTATGACTCGTGGACTTCAACTCCCT